CGTCCTCCCTCCTCGCCCGGCGAACCCAACCCCAAGGGCTTCCGAAGCCAGGAGTAACAAGACTCCCGCCGTCCCAGTTCTGCTTGTCAAAAGCACCTGGGCCACGGTGGCCAGGAACGGACTGCGACAGAAAGCAGTCGCAACTGCAAAGGCTGTGCCGCAACCTGCGGCAAAAGCCCACCAAAAAGAAACTCCCAAGGCGAAAGTCGACAAGCCACTGTTCTTTCGCCTTGAAAAGGAGCACCCGTGGCGCCAGCTTTCGCCTGCTGGCCTACGGCAACAACTACAGAGTGAGCTAGATTGCTTCTTGAGTGACGCCTGCTCTATACACCGTGTTAGAACCGGCTTTGCGATTCTGACAGGGAATGAAAAGAAAAGGGAAGAGCTTCTAGATGCCGCACCAAAGTTTTCGGACTTGGACGCCAAGCTCGAGGAAGCCTCCAACCTTGTCGCCTTCCGGATCGCGAATGTTCCGGCGACCGTAAAAACAATCAACTGTATTCGTATGGTCGATACTGAGTGGATCTCATTGGAGATCTACCGAAAAACACATAAGCTTCCACACAAGGTGCTACCGCACGGGAAATGCCGTCCTGGAGAGCCGTGCAGAAATTGGAAAGCCCTTTTCGACCGGAACAACGCGTCTCGCCCGGGCTTCCGCATTCTCAAAGAGACTGGTATGGCTACCATTCACAAGCCACGACCACAAATTGAACAGTGCAAACGCTGTTTGGGCTTCCACGCAACCCGTGGTTGCTCCCGCGCCCCAGCCTGCTGGAACTGTGGATCTAACATCCACTCGGAAGCTGAGTGCAAGGCCCTCACAAAGTGTCGCAACTGTGGGGGACCTCACCGATCGGATTCTCGGGCCTGTCAGGTCAGACCCAAAAAATCCGGACCGGTGACCAAAGAGCAGCTCGCGTGGATCCGCCACATAGAACAAGGGGAGTTCTCGAAGGTGGCACAAGCACGAGCAGCAGCAAAAAAGGCCGAAGAGGCGATCATCGCCGCTGCGAAGGACGTCTCGATGGCCGAGGCTGCAGGTTTTGGAGCTCTGGAATTTGAAGAAGAAGTTTGAGGACACAGCAACCTCGACGATGTCCCCATTGGGGCATCTACTAACCAATAGCAGGATACCAGCTGGATAAAAGGTACCTGCTAACTCATCTCTTGCTCTCAGCGGAGAATGAGTAAATTTGTCATTTGGAAGGTGTGACGGACGACGGAATGTGTGAGGAGCGCATTGGCTGGGTCCAATGTGGAGGAATCTTCTGTTCTTTTCGGAGTTTTGATTATCTTGATTTTTCGTTTTTGTTTAATCAGCTGCACTTTTGGTAGCGATTAACGAGGTTGGAACGAGTTAGGCTGTAGGAAAAGTAACAGGGAACCCTGCCGGATCCGCCGGTCCCTGATCCAATGTGGATAAAGAGCTTTAGCTTAGGACCAAAGTAAAAAAAAAAACACTACTTCCATTAACCATCACCTGACTTATCTCTGTACTCCATAATTTCAACACTCACTACACATTTATGACGCTATTTATAACCGCAGGAGGAAATCAAGTCGACAAATACAAATCCTGGGTCTTGGCTTATAGGGGCCTGTTGCTCTACTGGGACAAACAAATTGAGGAAGAACAGGCGCTTGAGATGTGGAGCGAGAGGGGGAACAGGTCTTTGGAGATCATGCGGGGACTGATATTTTCAAGGGGTTTTCAACTTTGGATATTTTCTGGGCGCCAAGACCAAGATTTCGGCTAATTATCCAGGAGGAGTTCTTTTGTCGATGAGTCAACGGCACTCCCCAGCGCCCTGGATGGTACAAAAGAAGTTGGGCTAAGCTGACATACAGCTATCACGCTGTCAAGACTTTTCTGACATTTCAGCACGACCTTCGGGGTGGAGTTGGAAGGAGGCTAGAAAGACAGAAGGTGAATTTCCCGATGTACCCATGTTACGGTTTGACCGTTGTTTTAGCTAAGGAGGAAACCTAAGCGTTTAATTAGGAATAATTACGATAAGACTGAATGAGGAAGGATGTGCAAATAGAGATGAAATGGCACTACTAGCCAGGAGGTCGAAGCAACATCATAGCGTAATGGCTCCTGGTAATACTTGGCTCGGTAGCAAGTGTTAGGCCCAGGGGGAAGTTATCAGTCAGCAGATTCACAAGGCTGACCAAACTTTTTTTTTTTTTGCATCAGATTTTAATTGCGTATGCAGCTATCTAGCTATGACACATTATCAAAGAAAAGTACAGAATAGATGATTCAACGTAAAGGAAGAGCACTCATGCCTCGGATTTCATTTGCAAGTACCACTGCGAAGTTATGGCGGCTTTTTCTTCACCCCAAGGCAACCCTCATCCGTGAATACCCACCCAGGGGAACCTCTCAAAAACCCTGAGTTATCCAGACATGCCTTCATCATCTTTCAACTTTTCTCCGCGCGATATGTGATCTGAGGTGTCTCTTTCCCAAGTGGAGTAGGTGCCCAGGCTACTCAAACCATACCAGAGAATACCACCAGGAGGCGGACCACGACACCTTCCATCGTTGGCTTGTTCTTATAGTGTCAGCTGCACTCTCACAAGCGAAGTCTTAGCGCGCACAAAGCCCAATTCGTAAAACTCCTTGCCAAAATTCGGAATTTCACTCCCTTCAAGGTTATATCCTTCCTTTGGATCATCTCGTAAACTTGTCCTGATCCCTCTCACGTCCATCCCAAAGAACTGTCTCCCAGATTTGTGCGCCACGCTTTGCTTCCTCCGTCGGGTATAAATATCGGCGTGGGCGTGTATTTGGTGGTCAACTAAGACCAGAGAAGGTCGAAGAGAGGTGTGGTCATTGGGATGAGGATGTACTAGGTCGTACTTGCAGACTTGATAAGACTTAAGTAGGCGTCAAACTCGAAGGGAGCGGAAAAACGACGTGGTGGAGTAATTTTAAATTTTGCCTCGTGGGCCAACTTCTTTGATTTTGCGAAATTTGACTAAACTTGGCTCTGGGAGAATATTTCACTCCCAGGTTCGTAGAGGACACCGCGTACAGGTGTTTAGTCTTGCCCTCCGGACCAAACGTTATAAGTACCTGTTAGTAGTAGCTAGAGATTACTTTCTCTGCATAAAGTTCAATAAATCGATTTATTCATCACCAACTCGGTTTCCGTCACAACCCACAAGTCTGCAGCGCCCAGCTGGCTGGCCTCTTCGAACGCTTCAGGAGGTTCACTATGTCTTCGGATTTAGTCCTAATATCGGTATTAGGAGAGGCCCGCACCCAGTGGTTTTTACGATATTTCCTGGCTGCCATACACCCGCATATGGCCATCGTTTCGTTGGCTGGAGAGGGGAGATAATGAAGGGCTAAGGACTCATCTATGTGTATGATCGAATGAGGACTTGCGAGTGGTGGTACTGTTTGAGGGAAGCTGTATGGGAGGCATAGGAGGCGATATACTACTGGTATAGGTATCCTTGGCCTGTAGGAAGAGAGGACCTACATGTCCTACATAGTCATAGACTCGGACAGGACAACAAAATGAGTCAATAATAATATAAGGAGTAGGGCGCCTTGAACGAGAAGAGGACTAGGTGTATTGTCTACATATGGGTGCTCGCATCTTGAAAAGTAAGCGTCCCACGTGACCAGAAGAAACTCATGTTTTTGTTACAAACCCTCACGAATCTCTAGCCCTCACTGATCTCTAGCCCTCACTGTAGAGTCTGCAGAGCTGAGATTGAGTAACAAGGCCCTCGCTTATACGAGGATTCCCGATCGCTTTCGCAGTCTGCAACTTCTCCATCTCTCTATTCATCCCCCTACCAATGTTATCCGGAAGCTAACCATGATCACATCAGATGCTAGAGTCAAAGCCCTTCTCATAACTAACCCTTGAACATGGAGGAGAAGTCATCCGATGAGTAAAGGAGCGTATCGAGCATCCGGTACGGCGGTGGTGGATTGGATCAAGTTGGCATTCAATTTTACAAAGAAGGGAGATATCGATGAATATGCGCACCTCATGTGGTCCCGGTGTCTAGGCCTCGCCTGGCTGGGGCTGCAGGTCTTTTGAGACTTTTTCCTCGCACGTAGTTTTCACTGCTACCTTTTTTTTTGGGCAGAAGATGCTGTGGAAACAGTGGCCGAACTCCATGGGTAAACACAGGGCTGGATGGCTATTCATCAAGGGCAATATATCAATGATCTTTGAAGTAATAAAAGAAGATAGGGGTATTGTACAAACTGTGGCCCGGGAAAGAGGAGCCCAATGTGTCAAATAATCACAAACTCAAGTTGTACAATAAGTACACCTCTCCTTGCACATGTCCCCTGCAATCTGTAGTCACTTCAAGCTGCAAACTCATGATCCAAGAAGATTTTATGACAGGGAGAGGATCGACTACTGGCGCCTGTAGTAGACCCCATAGTGACGCAGATGACCCATTTGTGCGGTGTAGATATCTCATATTTCATTAGACTATACATTTGACTCGCTTGGGCAGCAAGGAAAACTTCACACGAAGTCGTGTCGAGGGAGAGATTTCCGCTGTGCTGCGAAGGTAGTGATCGGGATGGATTACTTGGTACCGCAGACACTCACAAAGCTCAACGAAATCAACCAAGCGTAATTCTGTGACCTTCTCATTTTTAATTTTGGATCCGTTTACTTATGCAAATATACCAAGGTTCCATAATTAGCTTCATCCCGTGAGTCATGCCCCAAGGTAATTATGAATGAGCCTGTCCTAAGTACATACGATTTCTGATTGGCGTATGCTAACCAACGGACCAAACGGATGCCTTCCAGCAACACCGCACATGGAACCGAAAGTCTAATTATTCTAAACCGTTTTTTGGGAACCAGTACGCACGATAGGCTCCGAATACCTTCAACAACCTGATTAGAAAACACAAAGTAGATGCAATTTGTGGATTTAGAATTTATCGCAGCAATCAAGCGCAGATCTTCAGAGCATCATATATCTTCTCTGCGGCCATCATGCTCACGCCAAAGGCTGCAAAAACAGCCACCCGAACCTTGGGAGTGAGATGGGTGTCTGCTAACCACCTACGAACAATTACATGCTCTTCCGGAAAGATTCATTTACGAAATGTTTCCTCCAAAGCAAAACTTGAATCGATGACGGCCACCACTCCGCTGTATAACTCATTCTTTTCATACACCTCATGAGCTAATGTGCGTAGAGGCCCACGGGAAATACCCAGTCCAGCTTTCAACTTAACTACCTCCGAGAAACCTGAATTTCGAGCGCCTCAATTTGAACAAACTCAGAAATTAGACGAATCGTACGTAATTCCCCCCCCCCCCCCCCGAAAAATGCTGTCCTGATAGAAAGCAGCTTTATCGGTAAAACTGGTGGAGAAATTTTCCACGAGATGATGTTGCGGCAAGGCGTCAAACACATCTGTAAGTTCACAGGGAGTGAAACTGAATCAATCGTCAACGGATTCTGACTCAATGTAGTTGGTTATCCAGGCGGGGCAATTCTACCGGTATTTGATGCTATATACAACTCGAAACACTTCCGCTTTATTCTCCCAAAGCATGAACAAGGTGCTGGGCACATGGCCGAAGGCTACGCTAGAGCAAGCGGGAAACCTGGTGTTGTACTCGTAACATCTGGTCCTGGCGCGACAAACGTCATCACGCCAATGCAGGATGCACTCTCTGACGGGACTCCTCTCGTAGTATTTTGCGGTCAAGTTCCTACAACTGCCATTGGAAGTGATGCTTTCCAGGAAGCGGACGTCATTGGAATATCGAGGGCATGTTCTAAATGGAATGTAATGGTGAAGGACGTCGCAGAGCTACCCAGGAGAATAAATGAAGCTTTCATTGTCGCAACTTCGGGACGACCTGGACCAGTGTTAGTGGATTTACCAAAAGACGTGACTGCCAGTATTTTAAGAAAAGGTATCCCAATCAGCAGCACGATTCCAACCCTACCAAGCCAAGCCTCAAAGCTTGCCCAAATTCAATTGCGCCGTAATCTCGAGGCAACCATCAGTCGAGTCGCTCATTTAATAAACATTTCTAAAAAGCCTGTCATTTGTGCTGGACAAGGAATTATCTATCATCCCGATGGCCCTAAGCTCTTGAAAGAACTCTCAGATAAAGCATCTATTCCAGTAACAACAACTTTACATGGACTTGGGGGCTATGATGAGCTTGACGAAAAATCTTTACACATGCTCGGTATGCATGGCTCTGCGTATGCTAACATGGCTATACAAGAATCAGATCTCTTGATTTCCCTTGGATCTCGGTTTGATGATCGAATAACTGGAAATCTCGCTAAATTTGCACCAAAGGCTAAAGCCGCAGCAGCGGAAAATCGTGGTGGTATTGTTCATTTTGAAATTGTACCAAAAAATATCAACAAAGTTGTTCAGGCTACTGAAGCTGTTGAGGGAGATGTTGTCGAAAATCTAAGAATTCTTAACCCCTATGTTAAGCGTCGTAGTATGACCGATAGAAAAGAATGGTTTGATCAGATAAATGACTGGAAGAAAAAGTTTCCATTATCTAACTACGAGAGGGCAGAGAAATCGGGCCTCATCAAACCACAAACCCTTATTGAGGAACTCTCTAACCTCACAGCTCATCGGAAGGAAGAAACCATAATCACGACAGGCGTTGGTCAACACCAAATGTGGACGGCGCAACACTTCAGGTGGCGCTATCCTCGCACAATGATCACTTCTGGTGGTCTTGGAACTATGGGTTATGGGTTACCTGCTGCGATTGGTGCAAAAGTTGCACGACCTGAAGCCTTGGTCATTGATATTGATGGCGATGCTTCTTTCAATATGACGCTCACCGAATTATCAACAGCCAATCAATTCAACATTGGCGTCAAAATAATTGTCTTGAATAACGAAGAGCAAGGTATGGTTGCACAGTGGCAAAATATTTTCTACGAAGATCGTTATTCTCACACTCATGGTGAAAATCCAAACTTTATGAAGCTAGCCGACGCAATGGGCATTCAGGCTCGAAGGTGTACTCGGCCCGATGATGTGATAGATGCACTTAAATGGTTAATTGAAAGTGATGGACCTGCATTTTTAGAAGTGGTAACTGATAAAAAGATTCCTGTCTTACCGATGGTGCCAGGAGGTAATGGCCTACATGAGTTTTTGGTGTACGATGCCAGTAAGTATTTGCATAACCCCTTTACATGTTAACTAATTATGTTAGGCCATGATAAAGAACGTCGTAAAATAATGGTAGAGAGGACTGATGGCAAGCACGGTGCGCGTAAAGAATCAAGCATATAGGATTTAATGTTGTAGGAGGCGTTTCTTCATCACATCTTTTTTTTTCAATCAAGCATTATTCGGGAACAGGGTGTCGGGAGAACAAAACAAATTTCAAGTAAATAGCTGAGAATTTTTAAGTATGGTCGGACTGGTAATACCTAGTCCCACTTAACGAGATAGATGATACATTCTAAAATAACGACTTAAACTTCACATGTATGTGAAGAGATAGACAAATATATGATATTAAAGTTACGCGACTCACCAAGCTAGAACTCAACGGCTAATTTCCGATCTTGACGAACTATTTAAATTTCAGTTTGATCGGGCTATCGCAAATCAAACCTTTGATAATTGATTTTACAAATCTAAATTGATGAGTAACTCGCAAAACGCTGGTGCACAACTGACTCAGCCAACAAAACAGAACTAAAACGTCATGGGGGAAGAAACTTACCACTTCTCAGCAGCGTCCCTAACGAACCTCTAAGTCTTACCGTGGAGTCTACAGAGTCAAGGTTCTGCCAAAAATTTTAAACCGTTGAACTGAGTTATGTCCCCTTTCCTCAAAAATACTGTTACCGATAACTCTTACACCCATGAAAGTAACGATAATGACGCAGGCAGAAAGGAACAATGTGACGGTATCAAACGTTATAACGCTAGTGAGAGAAGTCCTCATCTTATCACAAAATATGCCACCCACCGGCTGGCAAACAAAAAGTCCACGAAAGTAACGTAAAAGGCCCTTCCGCCCTCGAGAAAAGCAAAATTCTGCTCTTGGACAACATAGTTTCTGAAATTAATAAATAACCATTTTTGACCAAAAGCTGTGCAGGACTCAACGCTGCTTCTTTCAAAATATAGGGTTCGGTTATCGTATTATTTCATAACATTTATCACGCCTCCGTACAAACGTTTCCCGCATCAGAACATGGTGGGTACCGAAGTCGGCTCGATGAGATCCAGTGGTCTCGAAGCGTCGCGAAATGCGACAATAATAAAGCAACTCGAGGAGAACGGAGCTTCCATAGCCCCAATAGATAATAATCCAAATGTCTTGAGGCAATTACTAAATAATCTTAGGACTCTTTGTTCAGATGAAGATGATGATAGCGGCACTATCACAGTAGAAGACACTGCTGAGGCCGTAAATACCATCAACCAACATAATAAGTCTTGGAAGGAGATGCAGACGATGAAATATACCGTCTATGAGATGATGTTTGCTCTTGAAGAAGTAGTTCAGGAGATTCTCGTGTATTAAACTCCTAACGCAGCTTCAGGGGCATACGCGTCGTTGGTAGCGCCGCCCATGACTAAAACACCGGTGAAAGTACGTGTTGAGGGCGCGAAATATATGCAGGAAGTATAGCTCACAAGGACATAAAAATATATTCCAGGGGTATACGCAATGCGTCAGACGCGGATCGACGACACCGAGGTGTTCGTTCAGTTTGCGAACCAGGGAGAAGTGGCTCTTAAAATGGGAGAAAAAGAGGACTTTCAAGTCTTAATGCAAGATATTTCAATGGAAATTTGCAGAGTATTGTCGGGGACGAAAATCGGTGGCAACATACACTAACAACACTATTAAATGTCTGGAGGTATCTGGAATGACAGAAGTGAACGTTGACCGACAATTCAATACCATATGAACCGTATAATATTGGAGATTTTTGGATTAGAGATAAAAGGTTAGGATCAGTGAGTTTTTTGGTTTTTAATGGACTTGTATCAGTTGAGAGTGTTAGGTGTAAATCTACATCTGAATTATCTATGTTCTAACTCGCTTAAGTAAAAACATTGTGTTCTGATTACTAGATATTATAAAATTCCCACCACTGAGATCATTACCAAACAAGACCACACCAAAGCTGGTAGCGATCGAAGATGAGTAATCTTCGTCCACTCCGCACTGTGTGCTGTTCAGTTTGGTGTGACTAGATCTCAACAAACAAGACATTGACTCGGTAGATAGAGTAGTCCACAGTTCGAATTCCAGCATTAAAAATTCTTAGACCAAAATGGATCCATGAAGAAAAGGAGCTCAGTCGTTCTGAGTTTTCCAACGGGGGCCTTACAGCAACAAATTTTTGGACACGACATCGTCCTCAATGCCATGTTATACTCGGCGTTTGTATGGTCCCCGAAGGCATAACCTAAGCACTGTTACAACAGTAGTCAATGGGAACACACCCAGATGTTGTGTGAAAAGTTAGCATGACGTGAAGATGTTGGAAAATATACTCTGTGCGATATTATGTGGATACACATGAAGTAAAGAAGACTTGATATTTTACAACTACGAGAACATTGGACTTATATGCATCCAAGGGAGAAATTCCCACTAGTCTCATGTGCCTGTCAAACCTAGTAAGGGCCAGCCACCTCTCATCTATCATGATAAGCCAAGGTACACTGTAGTTCGTAAATATCCAAACGTATATGCGACAGTAGTTACGAATAGCGCACTCGTGACATGTGTGGAGAGAGTCGATCTTGTCGGGAACCTGAGACGAAACAGATTACAAGTGAGTCCTAAATTCGAGTCTGAATTTCCAATAGTTAGTTTCCTGATAGTGGTGATAGGGGAATGTGTTGAGAGATGAAGACGATACAGACTGCGCAAGAGATTGAGAATCTTCATCAAAGTATGGGCTTTGCTACTAAATCTCGGCTCTGCAAACTTTACAGTGAGAGCTGGGGGTTCGTAGGGGACACCACTGTCAGGTGTTGAGAAAAGTCCCCCATGAGAGGCCATGTAACTACTGCACCATTAGACAGCCCTGTCGTAGGCACACCACAGAGTTTCGCCAACCTCATGTTCACAAAAGAGCCCCAGTGGGCGCGCTTAGCTGCGCCTAGCGTACAGGTTTATGCCCGGCGGGCACATAGTGCATGATGCGTGACAATGACATAATTATACCGACCTGTAGCTAAGCAAGTAGTTCGTCTCAAGTCGGAGAGGCAGCAATATGGATGCAACACCACCGCCCTCAACACTGCTGCCCTCTGCAGCAAAGCATACTCGCCAGGGATCTATTGGAAGAGGTTAGAATTGCAATATATTTATTTATTTGAATATCATATTTCCTTAACCAACGGTGTTTGGAACAATGGTCTGAGAGATTTGTCTCTTTCTCCAACTCCTGTAACGCTATAAGCATTAACTTTAAGAATCAAGCATCAAATTTATCTCTATCTACTACAGCTTTTCTTCCTCTTTTTCTCTCACTTGCTGATTGGGCTGTCTAGTTCTTCCCAAGCGTCCAGTCCGTGGCGCTCTTGATATATCAAAGTCGGTCTATATCCCTTTGTCCCAAATTTAGAGCAGTAAAATAACCAATCATCTTTTTATCTAGCTCACCTATCCATACTGCCCAAGCTTCTACCTCTCTCTCCCCATCGAACAATAGCACCAGCAATTCTCGGCTGAGTCCGAACCGCTCAAGCCTTAGCTACAGCACTACTCTAAATAATCAATCTCCATCCCGCATCTATCCATCATCGCCCAGCCTATCCAAAGACTTCTCTGCTCTTTTACATCCTAGTCTATACCATACGCTCACTCCAATTGATATACCGCCACCTTTGAGAAATCTTGCCCTCCAACCAGACACCTCAACTTCACTTGCCGACCTCATTTCTTCCGGTCACTTTCGCAGCGCTGCCGTCAAGGCCGCCCAAACACTGACAATTCCTGGACAGTCTTTGAATCCCGGTGAGATCTTTGACTTAGTATACAGGCGACTAGCCTGTCTGACTCTATGCAATCAGACGGCCATCGCCGCACAGGAAGTAAAGGCTTTGGGTGATCTGAACAGCGCACACTATCGAGATGTTGATACAGGAAAGCATCTTATTCCTTGGGAACTAAGACTACTTGCGGTAAGGCTACAGGGGATTGGTTTTGGAGATTCTAGAAGGAGTGTCATGGGATACTACGAGCTTGTCGACGAAGCCCGTCTTAACCTCAGCTCCCTAAAAAAAGAGGCTACTCTGAATTCAGACGAAGAAAATGTGCGGAAAGCCATCGAACGTGAAATAAGTCTATGGGAATATCGACTAGGGGAGCTCGGGATACGAGTGGCAAGTGCGTTAATAGAGATGGAAGACTTTGAAGGTGCAACCTGCTTTCTAGCCAGCATTCAATCCTGCCCCTCTACGCACCACCTCCTAAGCCAACGCGCACTCCTTCACCTCCATCTTGGTGATCTTAATGAAGCACACCGCTGTGCCCCGGATGACAAACTGATTCTTGCCCTCAGCAATATGGCAGCTGCCCAGTACAATGATGCCATAAAGTGCTGGGAAGAACTAATCGATACCAATCCCAATAGCAAAGATCTAGCCTTATGGAAGCAGAATATGGCAGTCTCTCTTATCTACTTAGGTCGTCTAGACGAGGTATGGAATATTGCTTTTCTCGACAAAAATTATCCTCCTAGGCTTCTATAATATTGCTATCAAAATAATCAACTAATTCCTGTTTTTAGGCTCGAACCCTCTTGGAATCTCTCTTAGATGACGATGGTCATACTTTTCATGCTTTGACATTTAATCTATCGACCGTCTACGAGCTATCCACGGAACGAAGCCGCACACTAAAAATTACGCTTGCTGAAAGGGTAGCCAAGGTGCTGGAATCGAATCGGGATCGAGCAAAGGAAGCTTGCGCACCAGTAGTTGGATGGGAAAAAGTCAATTCAGACTTTAAGCTGTAGCCTTTGACGCAGTATTTTAAAAATCATTTTGCTTATTAAAGGTTTACGACCAGATAGCTTTGAGGAATAAGCCATGGGAAAGTCTCACGCATCAACCCCCTTAAGTGTCTGAGGTCCAATTAAGAGGAAGTGTAAACCTTAGAGTTAAGCTGAGTTTGACAGGGATTATATCACCATACGCGTCGCCCGAGATTAGCATGTTTTCTGGATGGGTATAAAGCTCGGATCTTTTGCTAACATGCAATCATTTCAACATACTGACTGACAAAACTACCGTTATTTTATGACTGGAAAAAGAATGCTGTGTCCCTAAAATTGCGTGTTTAGCGTCACGTACAATGTGTAATATTGTGGCCAAGGCAGTGTAGGAAATAGCTTTTGTGCCTTTGGGTCGTCAATTTGATCACAATTGAGTACGCATCATTCAAGCCAGGATATAAAGATGAAGATATAAAACCATCGTTGTCCTTCATGCCTAGCAATAAGCATGTAAAAGTATCACATAATTTCAATGAATGATGTTTTCTTAACCTCGTAGATGATGCTCCCACCGCCCGGTTTACTTTCGATGATAGCGTCTCTAAGCTCATCTTCTGTCAATTTGTGCTTGCTGTAATACAAGCTATGCCATGCTTTTCGCACCGCTTCGATCTTAGCGTTGGGAACGAGATGCACTGTACACCCTCCCCAACCCGCGCCAGTTAAGCGACTTCCATAGGCTCCAGCTTCGCGAGCTATACGACATAAGTCGTCCAGTTCTGGCGAGGAGCAATCGAACAGCTCGCGGCACGAGTCTTGTGAGACATTCATCAGATTCCCGAGATCCGCATTAAAGGATTCAGACAAGGGTGCACCTTCGAGCTTCAGTCTAGTCTGATTATTGAGTAGACTTATAAATTCAAGGACGCGGCTCGCCTCACTGAAGACATGGAGTGCTCGCTGTCGTAGCATGAAACGCTCTGCACGAACTGGAAATATAGACATGAATTTTTTCTTTAAATCCCAGACCGTACAGCCAACGACCATAGCAATCTCTTCTAGCGTGTAGCCGATCTCGTTGCTGAGGATCGTCTTGGTCAAACTAATAAGTTGCGAGAGTTTTTCTACAAAAGATAAGTCACTTTGAGCAAAGTAGGCAGCCTGGAAGCCATGTAAGGATATCCCGAGGGGTCCAGAGTCCTCCGGTAGTGGTGCCACTACTTTTTTTTGGACTTTAAGAGAGGCATAAAGGTAAGCTGCTGCCATGGAACATTCGACGACGCGCAAGTTATAACACACTGGACCTGTGACGAATTTGTCCGACTTGACGAAGCTCTGAGCCACGAGGAAGCTTGCTTCTGGATCCGTTCTCTCCATTTTAATTGGATCTGCACTCAATCTAGGAGAGAATGAAACATGAAGTAATGATCCACGAGATGAAAATACAGAAGCAGCCTGATCCATGCCGCCTGCATTCACACCTACCGCACGTTCACTCGTAATTGCTAATTCGGTGAGAGTAGTCTTATCGATGCAGGTCTGGTTGTTAGCGTACATGACTGCCAAGGCTGACGCAGTTACGAATGCAGCAGAAGAACTAAGTCCACCACCGGCAGGTAGATTTCCATCTAATAATATTTCCATACATTTTGGCTGAAAATTTTGGCCATGAATTTTTGTTAATAACCCCACAGCACCATTGAGCCCTGCCTTGAAATAATTGGTCCAAATATGTGATGTTGAATCGATTTCAGCTTTCCCGTAAGGTATTTCAAAGCTTTTTGATTCAAATTTCTGGCTTTCAACGTTGGAGATTTTGATTCTATAATATCCATCGGAAGCATCAGAATCATTGGTTGATACAGCAAGTAGGACATCAGCCGTTATTGCCATGGGAAGTACCGAATAAAGAGAGTAGTCAATGTGCTCGCCTATAATATTAACTCGGCCTGGTGAGCGAGATACAAAAGCCGGGAACTTTCCATATATTTCTCTGAACTGATTGATTAGATTCTGCCATCGCTCCCTCTGACTATAGACAACATCCTGTGAATAAATATCGTCTAGAGACTCTGATATAAGAACATTTGAAGACATTGTAGGTTTAATTCCTTGGCAGAAGGGTGGATGGGGTGAAGCATGCTAACGAGTAAGGGATACTGTTTGTTATGGCCTGAATTATCTGGCCTGAGGCAGAGTCATCAAACAGCATATCCGGCCAGCCAATAGTAACGACAGAGATAAATTACAAGATCATCTCCAAGACTGGCTTTCAGATTTAGCAATCCTGTGATTTATGACAGTAACTCTGTATAAATTAGTAATATAGGCTTTCGGGGATGATTAGAATTAAGGACACAGGAAGCATATACATATTATTTCCCAGATTAAATATCTGGGAAGATTAACAACTTAATTCAGATACCCTCATGCGATGGATGGTTCAAGGACAAGCCGGAGTTTGTATTAATGAATTGTTCTGGTTATAGGAAGCGGAAGAGATGGCTTACCCAGATCCCCAGCTTCGCAATCTGTATTTTTCTCTTCTTTTGATCATAATTATCTATGGTATCCGGCTACCACAATTATCTCTTATTAATTTTTGAATTCTTAATTCTAAACCTACATTTTGAACCTCGATAATCACCTCATACACTTCGAAGACGGCGGATCCTACCCCTTTTGATTCACGCCGTAACACTGTTAGTGATTCGACTTTCAGTACCTGAGGCACATCACCTTTCTAGGCAGGGACTAGCTGCTTTGTTCACGGAATATCTTATTCATAAAATCCGAAAGGGTCGATAAAGGTGAAATGATGTCGATGTTATAGTGACTTAACTTGACAGGAGACATGATTGGGTTACATGGCATATTCATTAGGCCTCAGGAGGATGAGCATAGCGGCTCAACTTTTATGAAATCGCAAATCCACGAAGCATGCAGTACTATTTTAGACAGCACGGTATATGTTACACCAGGATTAAACAGATGGAAAATAGAGTAGAATATTATCAAATTTGAGTCCCAGTTAGGCAACCCATGGAAAAGACAACTCCGGAATGGGGGACTATTCTCAACACCTGTCATTGGTGTCCCCTACGAACCTCCAGCTCTCACATTAGAGTCTGCAGAGCCGAGATTGAGTAACAAAGTCCTCACTTCGACAAGGATTCCCAATCGCCTCCGCGGTCTGTATCGTCTTCATCCCTAAGCAAATCCCCCTATGACCATTATCATGAAGCTAACCACGATCAGATCAGATGGTAGGGTCGAAGCCCTTCTCATCATCAACCCTTGATCATGGAGGAAAAGCCATCCGATGGGTTTCCGGAGCGTACCCAGCACCCGATACGTAGGTTGTGGATTGGATCAAGTCGACCTCGACTGTTACAAAGAAGGGAGATGCAGATGAATATGCGTACCTCATGTGGTCCCGGTGTCTAGGCCTCGCCTGGCTGGGGCTGCAGGTTTTTTGAGACTTTTTCCCGCGCACGCAGTTTCCATTGCCACCATTTTATTTTTTTTGGGTAGAAAGTCCCGTGGAAAAGGTGGCCGAATTCCACGGACAAATACTGAGCTGAATGGCTATTCATCACGGGAAATATATCAATGATCTTTCGAGCAACAAAAGAGGCAAAAAGCACTGTACAAGGTGCGGCCTGGGTCAGAGAGGAGCCCAATGTGCTAGATAGTCAGACTCAATTAGTACAATAAACAATAAAAAAAGGAAGGGCGAACTTTCTGGTTGAACCTAGGTAAAAAATATAAGCGATCTAACTAAAATACGATGTTGAGCTAACAACTTTTACAACCATCAATCAATTTAACCCTAAATAATTTCATGCAAGCTTCGGTGCTGACTTATGTTGCAATTATTTTATGGTTGAAAGTTATATCATACCAAAACTTACGGACCTAATCCGAATATCACAAATAGCGGCAGTCTGAATAACTGAGCGTAGGTGGATCATTGTGAGAGGGCTAGAGAATGAGTAACTGTAATGTTAAATTTGGCCTTACAAGTGAAATTCATGTTCGGAAGTTATCCAAAAGTCGAGCATTTTTTAATCCCTGATTACCCAAAAGAATACGATCAAAGGGCTTCATTCGACCGTTATTTCTCAAGTGGAATCTCGCATGTCATATTAGTAAGTAGATTTCGCCATAATGATATGACGTGGACGAGATAGCCATGGTATCAGGAAACTGGGGAACCTGTCCTGTAGCAGGTGAAGAGAATTTACGGGTATCGACAACTCAGTAGAAACAACTTGTTTCTCTCTCGAGCATCGGTCCCAGAAGTTATCTCTTCTAAGTAGACCGTGCGTTCAACTAGCTAATTTATAGTAATCTATTATTGGACTTAATATAACTAAATGTGATCCGTACATCTAATAAACCTTAAATACTTCCTAATGTCTAACACATGGCTCTTTGTACCCTGCTGACCCAGCCTGTATTTTACTGGAAGCTGCCTCATTGTGACGAGGGTATACGCAGCACCAACGAAACTACTTGGCAGTTTCGGCGTCTTTTCAAAACATGATCGTTTGTGGCATTAAATTAGTATAACCAAGTCCAACAAAAAGATGACTGTCACTAACCAAAAAAATCAGCATTAATTTATTTTTCAGATGCTCGGTCCAAAGTCAGACGGTAGATATGACCGAGATAGACAACAAAGGTAGAGTGAAGCAGATCTTATGACTACTCGATACCTTCACCGAAAGTTATAAAGAGAGATCAGTAGGGAATAAAGAATTGCCTTCCTTTGAGAACTTCATTTGCAAATCAACCTTTTTCGTCTCGGTAATTCGTGATAAAGGGGCAAATAAGGATCGCTAAAGTACATGACAAGTCTTTCGAGCATACTTGCTCAATCCCCCAAAGCCCATATGCTCCATTAGAAAAATTAGAAGCGCTAGCAGCCAGTTAATCCATACCATACAAAGAAGCGGCCTAATACCAATGCGGCGGGTGAGCAGGAGGAAAGCGAGTTAGTCCACCGTTGCTTATAATAGGACTCCCAATCTCACCAGGGACTGCCAAAGGTCGGTGGGAAGAGATTTCACTTTCAAAACGAATCGACATGTGTCCATTTCCATCGTCACGAACTTCAAATGAACCACCGCCATTCACGGAATTGCCCTCAGTCTCACAGATATCAAGTATTTCTTTTTCCGAAACATTCACTTCGCCTGGTGGGTTCATATGGTCAATTTGATCCTTGATTGCCTTAAGACTGTTATAGTTGTCAGGTGACCCGCATTCTAGATTCTTACATGCCCGACAAATCATTAATCGCACGCCAACAGAGCGGGATTGGGGTAGGCGAACATTTTGAGCTCCAACCATGAAACCGTTTGATGGCCAGCCTCCGACTAAATTCGGATCCGGTAGAGAAGAAGGTCCAAATGGATTCGAAGGTCCAGCCCCCCAACTGCCGTAGCTGTTATTAGGCCCGGGAAAAGTAGGCTGTGCCAACCCAAAAGGAGCTACAAAGCTTTGTCTATGCCCGCCGCTTATATTTCGTGGAGCAGTATCTGAATTGATTGGTTCATCAGAATCATCAAGCAATGCACTGCTCCCAAGGTGATTACTTAAATCATCTACATCATTCTTTGCATCCCGCGAATGTTGACCATGAACGATACTAGCAGGTCGACCGATCGGTGCTGGACGAGCAATAGGTTGAGCCGAAGGCCCGGATATATCAAGGCTTCCAGATTGCTGACGTGAATGCGTCTGAGGCACTGGATGATCTTTTTGTGCGCTGAATGCTTGACCAATTCCGCCAAGACCGTTACCCTGTAATCCAGGAGGATATCCTGGTGGTCCATGTTGGATTGGAAATCCTCGGCCTTGCGGAATCTGATGCATGTTTATGGAGAGTGGTATTCCATTCGATCCAACGATGGGCCTAAACTGTGCTCCGATCCCCTGTTGAGATGGAAACACTGGTTCGTGCTGCAAACGACCAAAGCCTGGACCCATTATTGGCATGCCCGGAGGGAAAGGTAAAACATTCATTGACTGCATGTTACCGAAGGGATTTGGCTGTGATAAAATCCCAGGAGGACTCTTTAATGCTGCGTGCATTGGTGAAGTAGCTTGCGGTTGGTGTAGAAAAGGATAAGGGGATTGTGCCTTGCTAGGCGGGCCAATCAGACCAGGACTATTCTGAGGGTGTGCTGAGAGAGGAGAAATATCATTATTTAGCCCACTGTTTTGAGGAGTGTGGGGCATTGGAGAACTCGAGTCTTGTTGTGAAGGTTTTCTAAACTTTATTGGTGTAGGTGCCTTAGAAATTGCGGGTGTAGCAACTGGTATATGTGGGGATGCGATTTGATGAGGTTGTAAATTAACAGGTATAGGGATAGGAGGACGCTTTGCAGTCGTAGTATGCGGGGCCACCGGGGCGGCATCTCTTTGACTTACACATTCCTCACGCCTTTGTTTTTCCCTGTGTTCCTTTTCAGCTTTCGCTTTGACCTCGGCATCCTGTCTCTCGCGTTCAGTTTTCTCTCGACGTTCCTTTGCTTCACGCTCTTTCGCTTCCTTAGCCTCTTTATCCTTTTGCCTTTGCTCATCTTTCTCCTTACGTTCTCTTCCCTTTGCCTCACGCTGTTTACGTTCTTGTTCTGCTTGACGCTCACGCTGCTCCTGAACACGGCGCACTTTCTCAGCTTCTTTGCGTAGGCGTTCTTCTTCTTCGGCTTTTTTCAGCGCCTCTTTCTTTTTTCTTTTTAATTCTGCCCTGATACGTGCTTCTTCGGCCCTTTTTTCCTCGGCCTGCCGTATAGCGGCCAGTTTTTCAGCTTCCTCAGCTTCTCTTCTTGCCTTTTCCTCAGCCAAAGCTAGTTTTTTTTGAACAAGTTTCTCCTTCTTTTTCTGGGCATCACGTGCTTTCTTCGCTTGTTTCTCTGACTTGGCTCTGGTTTCCTCTTCAAGCTCTTCCAAAAGCCTTTGCGTACGTTCCTCAGACACCTTTTTCTTATACGCGGTTAAAACTCTCTGTTCAAACATCCGAGCAGCAAATATTTGGAACATTCTTCTTCCTTCTTCCATACGCTGTTCCTCGGTCATTGTGCTCTGCGCGAGATTAGGACATTTCTAGATTTCTCAGGTTTCCTCACTCACCAACTCTTCTTCATCATAATCTTCATCCTGGCTATCATATTCTTCCTCATCTTCTTCGTCCTCATCATAATCCTCCTCCTCTGGTGGAGCAGGATGATTGTGTACGTGAGAATGACTATGTAGAGTAGTATTGGGAGGCTGAACATAAATAGGGTTAGTAAATTGCTCCCGTGCATCTTCTTCCCTTGCCATTCTGCGTTCGGCGAGCTGTTCCATCATCTCAATGAATTTTTTACCATCGTTTTTCAACAAATCGTCTGCAACAGTTAGGATTCCACCCTGCACCGTAAGACTGTTACCAAAATTAAAAAAATCTGCTGCATGACTCCTGGGAATCTCTTCGGGTTCATCTTCACTGTAGTCGTCATCCTCATCATCTTCAACCTCGTCCTCACTATATTCTTCATTTCCTCCATCCTCGTCGTCATCTTCATCAAGTTGTTCGACAATTCGACCTCTGGATGGTTGCTGGGGATTAAAGACTGGTGGCAAAAGATTAGGTGGCTGGATTCCGCTCATGGCTCCAAAGCGACGAGGGGGAGGCATCATGGGATGTCCATTATCTCCTTGATGATTTGCATACTGTTCTAGCTCCTCATAATAGGCATCATAGAGTACTTCGAGTTCCTCTTCGATAGCAGTACGCTTTCGACCGCACACTGTGCAACTGCAAGAATGCTTCTGTTGCTCCTTCATCTTTTTTAGGACTGCATCTTTTTCGACTTTCACGAGAGATTTCCGCTCGTCCTCACCTAACGATAGCCAAAACTCTTTTATTCTCTCTCGCTCTTCCTGAGAAGAGGTGTTCCAGATTTTTTCCTTTGAGATTCCCGGCCCTCTCGACACATTGTTGTTTTCAACAGAAGGGAGAGGGATTCCAACATGATTTTCGATTGCTTCGTTGCCTCGGGCGTTAACAGAAGCTCTAGCCTGTCCACTTTTTGATTTCCTCTTTTTCTTTGATTTTTTCACATTTGCATTGTTGGGGGACAAGGTTTCGTAGTCATTTTGAAGTGACCCGTTTGCTTCAAAGGAGCCGGAGTAAACTTCGTCACTGTAGTACGGTTCATCATCGCAGGGTTCAATCTGTTGTCTTGAGGTGAACTGGTCTTCTAAGCTATGCTTTCGGAGACAATCTTCCAGCTCCTGCATTTTTCGCTGCATGGAAATCGATGGTGACACACTGTTGACGGAGGGACCTGATTGCTGATCTGCTGCGGCTCTCTTTGCCGCTTCTTTTTCGCGACGCTTCTGTTTCTTCCTATTTACGTTTGGGGATCCATTAGTGTTAGGTGTTGCTGCGCTGTGATGATTTATACCGTTACTTGTGGTGGCCACAGTTGGTAATGTATCGAAAATTTCAATGCTGCTTAGCCCTTTCGGAACACTGGTCATCTTGGAGCCATTCTTATTTTCAGGTTTGGATGCAGATTTAGCCGAACCAGATGCTGTGGAAGATTGAACCGTTTGTTGGCGTCTATTCGAGGGCATTCCGATCAATTGTTCGTAGGCGGATGATTGAAGTATCATAAATCTGTATTGATTCAAGAGGCTATTATTAGATTAGTATCATAAAAATGAGGTTTGATTCAAAGAGATGCAAGCAACTTGGAGAATGAAAACTCACGGGAGGAAATGTTTGAATAGGCACTGCCCCGCTAAAGACCGCAGCAGTTTTTCGAGTTCCGGGTGCAGTTTTGGAGCTCACACGGACGCAGGAAGCAGGGATACAAGAACCAATTGATGGGTGAGGTCAGCCGCTCGTTTTTAGGATCGAAAAGCGACCGAGAAGACCAGGGTTTTGTCGAAGGCAAGATATCACATAACTCAACTTTGAGATGAAGTCGCTTGATATTGAATGCCTTGTGGCCTTAGGCTAGTAAAGTATAGCTCGGTCCTTTGAATCCGCGAAAAGGTATTTAGAGTGATAAATATATATTCTCACTTGGCAAAATTGAGTTTCTCCTACCACTGTGAACGATATATTGTCTTGATTTCTTACTATGTTCAGGTTATACTGCTCTTTATGTAACCCCTAAAGTATTCTTTGGATGGTAATAATCACGTGATGCCTCCTGGGAGTCTCAGTGCTCTATCATAGATACCAGCGGCTTTACTCACGTTCCTTAAGCCCCTCTTGATAGCTCGGGATATCTTTGCTGAACAAGATGGATAAATTTGTTAACTGAATACCAACCTCCACTGCACCGACACGAATATTGTACCTGAGCGAGACCTCAAGCACGTTATGTCCCTTGTTAGGAAATTTCTACATCTATCTCAACCCTATCTTGTTCAGTCGCACATTTTCGGTTTTCCTTGTCCTCTGGCGCCCGCTTTCCAAATCTTCCTTGTTGGTCACATTTTAAATACCCAGCCGCTTCCAGATCAACACTGTTTTCTCAATCAGGCAAGCGGTAGAAACTTGTCGATAGATAATAACTTTTAAGCAGACTACCTTCTTAAAAGGCCTAAGAACAGCAATTAGAAATAAATTTGTAAATTTACGATAAGATTTTTATCTATTCTCCAACAAAGTACTCTTGCTATCTCGCCGCTAAATGTCAAAAAAATCCTAAATGGCCCAACAAAATGCTCAGAATGTTATGCGAAGGTTCGTTTCCTCTCCCTCTAATACACACTTCTATGGAAATAATATCCTGACTAAGTTTGGGATTCAAACCATTTCTACTTGTCACAAATAAACATGGTATGCTTCAATTAGCAGCTTAGATATCAATCACTGCTTGATAAAAGCTCAATCAAACCCACAGAATTTAAGCTACCAGTCAAATATTTTTACTGATGACTTTGTAGAAAATTGGTCATAATTGGCGATGGTGCTTGTGGAAAGACTTCTCTCCTGAGTGTTTTCACTCTTGGCTATTTCCCAACTGTTTGCCTGCCCAAACCACTGGTGAGGATTCAAAGCTGACTTTCTGATAGCACTATGTCAGTTTATTTCCGACAATTTGATTTGAAGAGTAACCAGTGACAGGTTCCAACTGTTTTCGAAAACTATGTGACAGACTGCAGGGTTGACGGAAAGAATGTCCAACTTGCATTGTGGGATACTGCTGGCCAAGAAGATTATGAGCGATTAAGACCTCTCGCATATTCCAAAGCCCACGTTATTGTAGTTGGGTTTTCTATTGATATGCCCGATTCGCTCGAAAACGTTAAGAACAAGGTAAGTTTGCCACAAAATCCTACAACACGCACTCATGAAGATCAAGTGGGTTGAAGAGGCACACGAACGCTGCCCGAATGTACCAATTATTCTCGTTGGCCTCAAGAAAGACCTACGCGACGATCCGGTTGCTATCGAAGAAATGCGGAAAAGATCCCAGCGTCTCATCAGCACCCGTGAAGCGACAGAAATGTCACATACTATTGGCGCGCGAAAATTTCTCGAGTGCTCTTCGTTAACTGGCGAAGGTGTAGACGACGTTTTTGAGGCAGCAACCCGGGCAGCTCTTCTCACATTTCAAAACGATGAAAGAGGAAACTGCTGTGTTATTCTATGAAGTATAAAATCCAACTATATGGGCAGATGCGAGCTCATCATTGGAACGCAATTTGTAAGCCACGCTAGTATTCCCTTCCAATTGCTAGTCAATGGTTTCAGTTTCTCGAGATTCAACACACCACACCGCAAGCTATATACGCCTCCGTAACCTGAGCTTGTGATGGTGAAAGCAGCAGTAAATTAATATTTTTTCATTCCAGATTGTGCAGTAACGTTGAGCTTAAGCTCATTAGGCTCCTCAGGTTGTAGCGAAGAAATGGAGCTCTGAAGATTTATTCGTAGGAGTTTTTATTAGCAGTGAGTCGATGGAGGGCTCACATTAGATCCGTATCTCAGTAGCCACTAAATATAAAAGCATAGCAATAATAGTGTTCAACTATCCAGACTCACAAGTTAGCTATTCATCTTTATCATGTCTTATGGTATTGTGTGAAGGCTAGTGTTATATAATACATTTATCTTCCAAAACTTCAATGATGCAGTGCGTAGTCTAAGTTAAAGGTTTAGAAGTGATATGGAAGCCCACATCTTAAATTTAAGTAGTCTATCGCTTCCAATCATGATCCCATGGATAGGTAGCGGGTGTGTCCGTCTGTAGTCGGGAGTATTCAATGGGTATAGAACCGTTACAATAGATCCCCCTCTTCTCTAAAGCTATTCGATACAAGCGACTTCCTTCTTTTCCTACCTTTGATGATCCATCGTCCAAATTCCTTAGAACTTCCATTGTATCTTGTATGGACTGATATTGTCTATATCAAATTTGCGTCATTGATTAGCCGATAGAGTAAATGAGCGATGAGAGACTCACCGTTGCAGCTCCAATTTAGCCTTGTTTTGCCTTTTACAATCCCAAACCTTCCACGCACGCGCAATTGTCCAGTGTCTCAGAGCTCTACCGCGACTTAGTCGTAGAGGCCGAGGCATAAGCGGATGTTGCATATGGTAGCGGATCATAGTCACTCGAGAGTCAGTCTTCGGCTGGTTGCCTTTTTTTAAGAGCGAAGAAGATGTTGTGAAGCTTCTAGTGCATGGCGACATACTTAGAGCTATCTTGCTCCTTGCGAGCGCGCGACATGAATAACGAAAGGCTTGCGCAATGCCTATGCAGATACCTTCATAAGATATGGACATATGTGACATTCCGTTGGTGAATGGAAAGTTAGTGCTATGACAAATTTAACAAGTTGACGGTTATATTCGTAAACAATTCTGATTCTTATTTTCAGGCGTTTTGTTCAGGTTGTTGCTTGAGACTCCTCAAAAATTGTACAACTTAGATTTTCGAAAGGTCTTAACAATAATCTTGCGAAACGTGGGTAGAAGATCAAGATATCAGAAGACACGATTGGTAAGGATGGCTGTAGTAAATCGTTCCCTTGTGGACCTGTTCAAACGTCAGGGTCTGTAACTACGACTACGCTAATCTACAACAAGCTTGGACTAATCATAAAGGCCCATTTATCAATCATTTGAAAGTTGAATATATTGATAACAAAAATAATGTTCACGTCGACACTGACCTTCACAAACCTTCAAATAAAATAATACGCCAAAGCTAAGCCCAGTCAAATTTCGTATGCTCAAATAAGTAAGCAGACAAGATGACCATTCAAAACTCACCATCACATTTATCTTTCGTCACAGTCAGCATAGACGAATCCCTCACCTACTAGCTGTGCCAGTTTAAAACCTTAGTAAGCTTTGTGTGTCTTAAACAGCCAAAAAGAATCGAATACGGATCGAAATTAATTACAAATCTAATTAAATCTAAAATCGACGACATTTTTTGCATCAGATTTTAATTACGTATGTAGCTATCTAGCTATGACACCATATCAGAGAAAAGTACGGAATAGATGATTCAACGTAAAGGAAGAGCACTCATACCTCGGATTTCATTTGCAAGTACCACTGCGAATTTATGGCGGCTTTTTCTTCTCTCCAAGTCAACCCTCGTCCGTGAATACCCACCCAGGGGAACGTCTCAAAAACCCTGAGTTATCCAGACATGCCTCCATCATCTTTCAAATTTTCTCCGCGCGAAATATGATCTGAGGCGTCTCCTTCCCAAGTGGAATAGGTGCCCAGGCTACTCAGACTATACCGGAGAACACCACCAGGAGGCGGACCACGGCACCTTCCATCGTTGACTTGTGTTAATAGTGATGGCTGCATTCTCGCAAGCGAAGTCTTAGCACACACAAAGCTCAATTTATAAAGTTCCTAGCCAAAATTCCTAATTTCACGCCCCTCGAGGTTATATCCTTCCTTTGCATCATCTTGTGAACTTGTCTTGATCCCTCTCACGTCCATCCCAAAGAACAGTCTCCCAGATTTGTGCGCCACGCTTTGCTTCCTCCGTCGGGTGTAAATATCGGCGTGGGCGTGTATTTGGTGACCGGCTGAGGCCAGAGAAAGTTGAAGAGAGGTATGGTCATTGGAATGAGAGTGTAATAGGTCGTACATGTAGACTTGATGAGACTTCGATAGGAATTGATCTTTTTGGGAGTGAAAATTTGACGTAATGGAGTTTTATGAATCATTACTTCGTGGGCCAACTTCTTTGCTATTGCAAAACTTGACTAAACTTGGCTTTAGGAGAATATATCACTCTCAGGCTAGTTGAGGACACCGCGCACAGGCTTTCAGCAAGTTCTCCTTGTGCTCTAGCGCCTGTAAACATATCAGAACTTAGAAGACCTCTCGACCTACTACACTCACTTTAATTTCCCTTTCATGGCTTCTTTACTGCCGTATTAGGGGAGCTTTTCTTAACACCTGTTAGGGGTGTCCCCTAAGAGCCTCAAGCTCTCACTGCAGAGCTCGCAGGGCCGAGATTGAGTAACAAAGTCCTCAATTCGATCAGGATTCCTAATCGCTTTCGCAGTCTGCATCATCTTCATCTCTCAGCATAAATCCTCAGTATCATTATCATAAAGCTAACCACGATAAGATCAGATGGTAGGATTAATGCCTTACCCATCACCCAATATTTGTCATGAAGGAGAAGCTATCAGATAAATTTCCGAGGCATATACAGCAATGGTGGCTTAGATCGAGTTGAATTCCTTTGCTACAAACAGAGATATTGATGGATAAGCGCATCACGTATGGTCACGTTGTGTCGGCATCGTCCTGTTGAGGCTACAAATTTTTCGTATAATCTTCCTGCGTGATCAGTATCTGCTGCAACCCTTTTAAATCATTTAATTTATCTTGAGTTTTCTAGCAATGAGACGTGATAATTCCTACGTATCATTTTTGTGACTCTTGTGACGTTAGAGAAACTAATACTTTATACTTCATTAGCAAATATTACTATGACGTATATTTTCTTACAAACATTAGTCTATAATCTATGAGTGTCCACCAAAAGGATGTATCGAAACCTTTAATTGTCGCGCATTGCCTCTGTGACACACAAACACGAATACCGCGAGAAATGTAGTTGTATTTTGCCGGATTCAAACAATCAGCATCCTTTCTCAACTAGGATATTTGTCCAAGCATTCCAAACCCTCATCGGGAGACTGGATAGCCTTGAGATTACTTGTCGTAAACGCTGTTACAATAGGTGAATCTTTTCAATAAATGGCGCAAGTAAGGCCACATTTGCGGTTTCTGCTTTAGACTAGGCCTAACAGTCGATACTTTGCAGGAACTCTCGGGCTAGTATAATTCTCTGCTTTGGTTCGCACTCTGATAGCTACACTACAGCAACAATCCCAAGAAGGCTTGGGGGTATATGATCGCGCGGGTCTATTGTTACCTACGATGACGGCTACTTGGTTTGAGAGATTTAAAGTAGATTTATAGATAAAGGGCCTGAGACTAAATTGAAAGGGATCTCACAAGATGCGAAGAATTGAAGAATGAAGCTAATCTCTCCGAATATGCGATATCTAGACACTAATTCACTGTGCCCGGTTCGAGAAGCAAGAGAGTGATTGAGTATTGGTTTGAGAAGCGATGGCTTTGCTAGGATTTAAGGCCTTGTAAATTTCTATTTCTTGTGTGTCTGAGGGGCTACACCCGATGACAGTATTCTACGCATTTTTCAAAGATAGACGAGGAACGATAATATAAGATGTTCAGAGATTGGCCAGTTTCTCTGCAACAAAATTGGAAGTCAAATTTTTCTTCTAAAATATCACAGAAATCAAATATTTAAAGGGATGAGCTAGATATGTAGTGATGAATTTATAGGGATTAACTTGGCGATTACCGTATGATTGGATGTATACGAAATATATAATCGTCCCAATAAGTGAACAAAAAAATAAGTGCAAGTCAACTTTGGCCTAACTTACAGTGATATCAGCGAAAAAATACGGAGTGGACTAATCACGCAATTGAAGGATCTCATGTCAGTTTCCATTAGTACCGTGATATTCATGTGCCTATCGCCGCATCTTTTTTAACTTCTTCCTATCGTTACAAAGTGTTACTGGTTTATATTGCCAACATTAGGTGTGATAAAAGTCATGCAAGTCCCCAGAAGTGGTGTTCTCCATCCTTATGTAGGTTTCAATTTCTAACGGAACAAGATTTTGCGCATACCCTATCCCTTACTATTATTTCGGCGAGTTACGAGAGAATTTATCGTGTCTATACCATCTGGAGAGTAACTAATTGACTATGACTAGGCAGACGGTCTTACTGCCTTTGAGTACCGTTCATGCTTACCATCATCACAAAATCTACTCATTTTAATTGGTGGTTTATTTGATGGCCTAGGTACAATCCCGTACACTGAATCCATCTCAGATGCTCTACCATCCACCTGGAGCTTGGCTCAGCCAATTCTCACATCTTCCTACAAAGGGTGGGGAATGACCTGCCTCCAACAAGATGTAAACGAACTTTCAAAATGTGTGGCATACTTTCGCAGCCTCAAGAAAGGCAAGATTGTGTTGTTGGGCTCTTCTACTGGATGTCAGGACGTGATGGAGTATTTGACGGGTTCCGGTAGTGAAACGAGAGCTCCAATTGATGGTGCCATCATTCAAGCACCCGTCAGCGATCGAGAGGCTATCACTATGCATCTAGATCCTCAAATCTACACTCAGAGCTGCCTGGCAGCGCAATCTCGGATGGATGCCGGACGAGGCGAGGAAGTATTATCTTTACATCCCGATATAACACGTTTTTTCCCGTGTCCTATATCTGCTCGCCGCTGGCTTTCCCTTGCGAGTCCAAACAAAGATGGCGACGATGATTACTTTAGCTCAGACTTGACAAGACAACAACTCACTAGTACATTTGGGATGCTGCCAGCTAGAACACCACTCTGTGTGCTGATATCGGGCGCTGATGAGTACATACCTAAAAATGTTGACAAAATTCTACAGTTGAAAAGATGGATCACCGTAATCCAAAACGGAGAGGGAAAAATAGATTTACAAAATTCGGGTATTCTAGATGGAGCTACTCACAATCTTGAAAATAATACTCCCGAAATCGTCGGTAATTTCGTGGCGCGGGTCATGAGCTTCCTGTCAAATCTCGAAACTTCACTGGTTTAGCAAAAAGTAGGCAAGAAAGCGGTTTAAGAGCAATAAAATTTTCAGTGTTTAACCCAGTCACCTTTACTCTGACTCTTTAATAAAAAATGTGGAAGCTTCAAATTCTAAGCAACCGAAGAATAGGAGTTATTCGCACCTCAAAATTTCTATATCTACATTGTCTAACCTTATTTTACATCTTGTACCCTTAACCACCCTGTATACACCGTAATCAATATGTTTGCGGCTTTTCCTCCTCTATGATGAACCGGCAGGAAGAGACTCCTAAATCTGATATAACACAAAACTCTTATACCAAAGTAAGCCGTTGTAGAAAGATTATGCCGTAGTCTTAGGTTTGAGTGATTTGATTGTAGTACATAGAAATTTATCTTCCTCTTTTTACACATTTTGAGGACGCCTTAAAACATTACGAGAAATGTAGGTAGCTCCATGGGTCTTCAAAAGCATAGGAAGACAATACGACAGGATGATCATGCCAAAACCCTTAATACTATGTGATATTTGCAAATATTTCTCACAGGTGATTGTTTATAGCCAACACGCCTCCTAACGCCTCATCAAATGCTACGCTAAAGGCGCAAGATTTTTTTCAGAATTGTGTAAAATAATTTGTCCTATCGGATGCAGAAGATTTGGTCGCCGCTATTAGGAATTTCCATTAAGTTTTTTGCTCGCTTTCACCAAGATACGCGCGGCTTTTTCCACCTGTTCCTTGACTAGATTCCAATCCCGAGCTGTGACCGCGTCGCGGATGGCAGGAAAAGTGGCGTCTCGTTCCTCTGACTCAAGTGGTGGACCAAAAACTATGTGCTTGAACTGAGTACGATTCGGGATCTGATGATACGAGCATTAGCGTTTTATTGGAGAAGATGAGGAAAAGAGAGCGGGGCGAAGAAGGATGTCCTTAGGGATGAGAAGGTCAAAGGAAATAGAAATGTGTGATAGCTCCATTCAGGAAGGGGGAGGGCTAGGGATTACTCACACCACCACCTTCATCGAGGTCCAAGAGATGCGTCTCAAAATTGGCCATTCGATTGTTGTAGCTTTTGCGATGCTCAGCCATGCGCGGCGTCTCATAACCACCGCCGCCATAGACGACTGCATTCCATTCCTGCTCCCAGCGCGAAAAACGTCGCGAATCGCCCGCAAGCTGTAGTACAGCTTCACGTAGTGGTTCAATACTCCACGGTGTATTTCCATCTTGGTTGATACCCTTATCCGCAGCCCACGTATCAAGATCGATGACCGACTGCGTTAGTGATGCAGAGTATGCTGAAATGTCAAATGGCAGCACCAGTTTGTCAGCATACTCGAGTATAAGTAGGGCCCATATTTGGGCAAGAATCTTATGATACACGAAGCCAGGATCACCGACGGTGTCAAGCCACTCAAAATTGTCGTAGGCGGAATGCTGAGGATAGGGACCATCAGAAAAGCCCATATCGAAACTTGATGTGCCAGCCATACTCTGAAATGGGAGGTAGTCACTTCGTCCGGTGATATCACCGAGTTTTCCTCCGGTCTCCTCCCATAGGTCAATCATAGTCTTATTTTTGAGGGGATCTGATGTGCGCTTCAGTACCTCCATAAGTGATTTTGTAAAGACGGGACTTCCGGAAGCTCTGAAATTGGAGCCGCTAACTGCAGAACCAACATTCAGGTATACAAATGCATCTTTGCGCAATTTCTCTACATGATCCTCGACCCATTCCGTAGATCCAAGTAGATTATATTGCTCGCCATCCCAGGAGGCAAACTCAATAGTGCGCAATGGTCTCCAACCACGGTGGTAAAGGTCTCCAAAGATACGAATGATTTCCATCATAATGGCAGTTCCAGATCCAGGGTCGGCCGCACCATAATGCCAGGCATCACGATGGTTACCAATTATGATAGACTTTTCCATCTGCTCAACTCCATTGATCCTGCCCAATACATTCCAGATAGGCTGCTGTTCGACTTCATCCTGATCATTGAGTAAATGAACCTTGGGTGAAGATGAATTTCCAGTCCAATATTCAATATTGGGAATACCACCTTTCCATCCCTCTGGACTTGCTTCCCCGAATCCTTGTATAGCTTTGAGTAAGTGCTGAGCATCTCCCCATGACAAAGGTATGCTGGGAATACTAACCAGACCGGAGTTGCTTTCCTTAGAGATCCGTTGGGCTCCTGGCACACTTGCCCAACCTGGAGTGAGAACATCCCCAATAACCTGGCTCGTTATGCTCACTCCACCTCGCTGAACACCTCTCTCTGGCATGAAGCGTCCTTCGGGTGCCACTCTCCCCTTTAAAAAGCCATCGTCATATGGATCACTGTATGTTATACACCCCAGAAACCCTGCTTGGCTCGCAGCTTTAACCTTCAAAGAATTATCTCCTTGACTTCCATGGTGCCGTATCAAGGCGATAGCACCAGTTGTATTGATACCACTATCATAAAGTGTTTTGAAGTCCTGTCTAGAACCATAATTCGCATAGATAAGAGGACCAGTTACATTCCCGCTCTTGGAGTGTCCATGAAAAACTAGTGTTTGTTGTCTAGGCGGGTCAACGTAGACGGGATCTTCCTCAATTTTAGCATGCCATTTACTGCTTCCATCCTCATTTAGAATCTCAACTTTTCGACCCCCTACTTTTGGGTAATTCATGTAGACCCCATATTCATCGGTTCGTACATCTTCCAAGTAATTTTTGAAAAAATCAGTCATATATTGCACTAATGCATAATCACCTTCAGTGCCTGCAATATGGTCTGTCGTTGTGAGGAGTTTTAAGTTTTCTCTTATCAGGTTAGGGTCCACTGAGCTTTGTACATGTATCCGCACACTTTCGGGATCGAAGATTTGTCCCGCAATCTTAGGCATATCCACGGCAAATAAATCGCTGATGAACAAGATGTAAACCACAGCCATTACCAGTATGATAAAGAAGCAGCGCGCTAGGATAAGGCAAAGGTCTACACTGATCTTCGGCCAGTTGAAACCATCCAGCAGTCGCAATTTCCAGGTCCAGCGAAATGGTAACCTGAAAGGCATCTGTAATTTCTGACTCAGGTTACTGATCCGTTTTCCCCATGCACTCTGTCGAATATTGGCATTAGGTTCTTCCATCTCGAGCTCCTCTATTTCTCGTCGCACGATAGCCTCTCCACTGGCCCGACCCCTCCACTCTGACCCGTCCTGGCCTAGGAAAGTATCCCGTTCATCCTCATCAGGTACATCTTCCACCGTCGGGGCACGATATGTCAGGCGCCGTGTTTGAGAATCATGGTTAAGAAGACTCTCCCGTTCACTTGATCCAGTCCAAGATTGGTGTCGCGACGATTGTCCCGCCGTCGCTTCCTCATATGAGAGAATAGGCATTGTCTCGTGAAGATGCTTTGTGTCGCCCATGGCGTTAGCGGGCATAGCTAGGGGCACCGCGCTCCTCTTCTCGTTGCCGCTTGAGGTTCGAAAGATAGTATTTAGGCAAGGTGATATTATTAATACAAAGAAAATAATGAAACATTGATTCGAATCGTTAGAAGAGAATGGGTAAGAGTTAGTCTTAGGGCATTTGTGATGCTTTCGTGGAGGGTGGAAACTGTAGTAAACAGCTAAGCAGGTGTGCCAGCTGTGATTCGCAGTTTCGCTTGGAAGCTAAACATGACACACCTGATACCGCCTAACTCTTCCGCACCCCTAACCCGCGATCCAGAAGCTAGGATTAATTTGAATCCTCTTTACATGGAATTTTAACTGTGGGAAGACTCAATCCATAAATTTTCATAAGACTGCACAGTCTACAGGAGGTGATGAGTTACATGAACGCCTAGAATCGACTGTTGGTATATATTGCCCTAGGAATAGGTCAGAGAACATTGTCTAAGTAAGCGTCAAGCATCCTGTTTTATATATGATGACCAAGCAAGAGACAAAAAATGAAACCAACATCATCCACGGTATGATTAGCTGCAGTAAAAAAAGTCTCATAATCCCGTGAGTGTAAAACTGAACTTTTATAACCAAATTTTGGTTTGAGTAGATTATTACTTGAATGAAGACGAGGTCATACTTTTCACAATACATTATTCATCAGTATACTATTAAACTAATTTCACATTAGACTGATCATAATAGAACTAAGCTACGCCCTTCTTGCTATCTCCAGCCCTCTATTGAAGTCCTTTCACATCTAGAACTTTGCTAACGCTCAATCTCTTACCTCAGAGGTTACAACACCCTCGTACTCCCGTGATGAAATATAATCTATTGTTCGTTGAAAGTGGCGTTTTGGCATATCTATAGAAGAAGCTTCTTGGTTAGAACGGATGTTAGAATAAATCAACTCGATAAGACCATTAAGGTACTTAACAGTGACCTGAAAATTTTTAGCGCGATATCCAATCTAATAAGATACGACTCACTGCTTCATTTTGTTGATCAAAATAGTACACGTAGCGATTCAAAATTTCCACAAAGAGTTCGACAGAAACTGCTGTGTCCATACAAGCGTCTGCGACTCGGAGAGCACGCTGGAGGCATTCTAGTACTCTTTTTCCATCGCGATAAAGCTATATTTTTTAGTCCAATCTATTGAGCAGATGTTTGTTACTCACGGTCTTTTCGTCTTCTGTCTCACCCCTTGCCGATATTGGCACTGCCCACCATAAATGGCTAGCTAGATAGACAGCCCGACACTGGTCTGGCTTTTTAAGTAACTTACTTCCATGAAGGGCACATTTAGTAATCAAGGTATCATAATTTTCTTTGCCGAAATTTCGAGTCTCATGCAATGCTCCAGCAATAACGCATACAGCCTGGAATTGAGCCCTCGAATCACTGATAGCTTCTTCATATATCGTAAATGCTTGAGCAAAGAACTCATAGCTAATCTCCTCTGTACAAGTTTGGTCCGCAATCTGACCACAAGTGACAAAAAGACGTAAACATAGTTCAGCAGATGTTGGTACGCGCGTATACAATGTAGAAAGCGATGAGTGCATAAATTTATATAGAGCGGATAATTGGGATTTCCAATTTTCGTCGTAATGCTCTCTGGCTTTGTATCGTCGAGCTAATTTCATCGCTGCTGTAATCAAAGCTGGAGTCGTAAATTTGACTCGCTCGTTACCCTCAGAAAACGCTTTCCTTGTCATTTGGAGCAGCTTGTAATGAGTATCGTTATCATCACATTGTATGAGATGGACTATCCGCGCAAGCCATCCTTGTTCTTCAATAGTTTCATCTGTTTCAATAGCTTTCCGCGATTGAACTCCAGGATATCCAGCGGATGGTTGAGTCCCTTCCTTTATTATTACGGCCAAGACCTGGAGGACGCTCTCTAGTCGAGCAACAGTTGTTATTTTAATCAAGTTTTTTTGCAAAGTTTGTGCTACTTCGGCAGCAAGAGCTCTCCTTGTAGAATAAGTCTGAGAATTTAGGAGTGGTATGAACGTTGGAAGTGATAACGCTGTAAACATTGAAGCATAGGATTTCGTCGGAGCCAAAAGAAGGTTCAATAGGTTGCTTTGAGTTTCGGGGGCATGAAGATCCACGCTATTCACATGCTGTTTGACTTTTTGGTTAGCGTATTCGAAGATTTGATCGACGTAGTCGAGTCTTTCAGGGTATATGTTGAAGGCCAGATTAGCCAGTGATACTAGTAATGCTGTAGTATCTTGTATGGGAAGATGCTGAACGTTAACCAGATTTACCACCTGCTCAAAGAATGTCTCGTATAGTTTAATATTATCTGGAATACCCTTATTTCTTCTCTCTTCTACCTCTGAGTCGACTTTTTCAGGGTTTTTTTCTTCTACAAGCTCGGCTTTGTTTATAGACTCAGCATTTAGAGAGCCTTCTTCTGCTTTGGCTGTCTTTTTATTTTCTAATTCTACTGTGGGTTCATTAAATTTTTTATCTTGGCTCAAATGAACCTTTTCTAATAGTTTCTCAATTGCATCTTGCTCTAACTTTTCACGTTCTTCTTGCAATGGAGGATCTGCTTCTCGAGCCGCGTACCGAGAAAGCCTATCCATCAATGCAATGACTATAACTTTCACATTAACATGGGGATTAAGGCGAGTGACTGCTGCTAGGAATTGATCAAGAGTGTGCAAGTGGTACTCATCAGGGAAGACTTGTGTTATTACCTCTAAAAGATATTCTTGGGCCAAGACATCTCGACACTGGACAACCTGTTCCAGGAGTGGCTGCAAAATAACATTTTTGTAGGTTTCTAAATCCACAAGCTGACTTAAGCGGACGAGGTTGTTGCCCACTAGCAGTTGCAGTTCTTTGCGTTCCTGTGTGCGAATTTCTCTCTCTCTGGAATGACCTTGATGTTGCAAGCGTACCCAAAGTTTATTCATCTCAACAAAGTTAGTCAGGGTGAAGCTTATTGAGTCCTGCAAGCTTCCTTCTGGTCCGTCTTCTTTCCCCATCGGTAGGTTCTCCCGGGCCTGTCCAGATAAATAGTACCTCAAAAACAGTCCTCTAATGGGATGCTGAACACCTCTGCTCATCTCCATCATGTCTTTCATGATCTCCTTGACGGGCGACTCCTCAATGGACATGTATACTGTTCCTACTGTGATCATAAGATAAAGTCGGGGAACAATATTTCCTGCATACTGGACTAGCTCATAGAGATCTGCCAAGTGATTTGTCGGATGTGAGTCTTTGAGATAGACAGATAGGTGCCGCAATGCATCAAAGACTGCCATATAGAGCTCATAGTATTGTTTTGGTCCTAAACTGCTGGTGCGAAGTTCTGAGACTAATGTCGAGCTGTAATCGGAAATGGTGGATTAGCACGGATACAATAAATATTTACTGATGGTACTTAGATTTTCTTTCAAAATTAAAAAAGGACAATTACCTGCACTTCAACGCATCCATAAGTTTACCTGGAGTTTCCAAGCATTTACGCATGAGATGTGTTTGTTGCCGGACTACCACCAGGGCATCTTCAAGCAGCCGGGCTTGATCTTCGACCGCCGGAATACTGGCCATAGCCTTTGGTGATTTGATGGTTCATGAACTGTCAAATAATAGAATCACATATATGGATCATGAATAAGTGGTAGGGATTATGTCAGATTTAGTCATATTTCCGAGCTCCATGTGGTGGATATCGGACAACGTTTTCACGGGGAAATTAAAAGGGGGTGCAAGTTTAGCGATTTTCGGACTCACTCCAACCATGTGGAAAGATAAATGATCATTTCATTAATTACACCGCTTCCTCTCCTTGGGTTCCTCAAACTCCTAGCATACGTGACTAATATTATCCACGAAAGAATGTCCTGTTCTGAACATCAAATTATTGTACATCCACATCTCCCAGGTTACTAAATTTACGAACTTTCCATCGATCAACGAATATTTGTTCTCGTTTTTCTCCACTACCACATATACCTGTGTTCTACAATTATAGTTTACCCGTCATATTCATGACTATCTCGTGACTAAAAAATTCATCTTGTCCTTGGTCTAAAAGTCATTGAGAGTATTTTATAATTTAAATTATTCTGATGTTAAACTGTGGCTGTGATCAATTATTGTTCATGTGTCGTGGAAATGTCAATGTGACAAGCTCTGTCTCCATTGCTAGGGTCGAGGAGTATGAAGCGATAGTTTCCGTTTTATTCGAGATTGAAGGAGTGAAATCGACAGATGGTTGTGGAGATGCAGGGTTAGGAGGAGAGGGAGGTGGCAAGTGTGTTGGTTTCGGCCTGCGAGAACTTGTAGAACTACTAGTTGTAGGTGAAGCTGGTACAGATTCCGAAGAGCTTGAAGATGTAGGGGTTGGTGCAGACTCTGATGAGCTCGATACCGATGAAGTGCCTTTAGATGTGGGTGTAGCGACTGATGTAGTGGTGTAAGGATAGTTAGAGGAAATATCAGTGCTTGAGGCGTCTGGTACGTTAGGTAATGAAGTCCCAGATACCGGGGCAGATGATGTCGAATTAGGTACGGCTTCCGGCGATGACTGTGTCGCAGAGTTCTCGGGTGAAGACTGACTCGCAGTTTGTGAAGTTTGAAACGTTTCGGTTTCTGAGGTACTAGTTCCAGAAGGCACCGCAGAAACAGTAACCGTACTGGGAGGAGAGCTAACATCAACGACGGAGTAGCTAGTCTCTGTGACTGTTAGTGGAGAGGCAGTAGCTGTTGTAGTGACCTCGCTCATTTGAGTCACTGTGGGACCTTGTATCGTCTCTATAGACGTCACATGGTCAGTCATTGGTGGCATAGTGACTATATCCGTTTCCACAGTAGTCTGTGTCTCAGCGACAAAAACTGTCGTGAATTCTGAAGGTTGCGGAGTATTCACCGGAGTGTTGTCCCCATTGTCATCAGCTGGTCCCCCGTCTACGGGTATTATGGCATAAGGCGCGCGACGAGTCAAAAATCCAAGCATAGATGGCTTCCTAGTTATATATGGTAATGAGTGAACAAGCGGGAGTAAAGATGAAGCAAAGATAATATAGAGAGCAGCGGTATCAGGACGCATGGTTATTTGTCGGTGTTGGTACTATGATCAGAAATCGAGTATTAGCTTAATAAATAATGCGTCAAAGACTCAACTATCGAATGGTGTGTGTGAGAAGGTGAATTGAATCCCTCACCAGTATATATATACATCGAAAGTTAGGCTTGACTATTAGGGGGGTACAAAGAGTTCGGGTCATTTGATAAATTGGTGGTTGGTACTGGGAAAAATCGAGATGGCGGGAGGGCCGATCGATAAGCCACATTTGCAACCCATCTCTTCTGATCCAAAAGAATCGATAGTTTGGTCATTCAGAAACAGGATACTGATGTAGTGGTCATGAGAACATTCTTTACCACATGGCATCGTTGGATTGAGCACTGACAAGAATTCTAATAGATTGATGCAAGGAATTCGGACGCGGTTGATGTCTGCTCTCAATGTGGTCCGTGTTCGTACCGCGATGATATTATTATGTAATCAATATCCTGCTTGACTTAATACCAATATACTTGTACTCTATTTGCCACCAACTTTAAAGAAATATTAAAATTAGAAATATATCAGAAGCCATTATTTAGGATGCCTCTATCATGTGAGTGCATTTAGATTTTATTGTACTATTCAGATGGTCTTGTGTGAGCTTCAATGTCAATTCTGCAGCTACATTCATATGATTTATTTACAATTGGTTATTAAATAGGTTTACAACCAGGGCCTAGACACCATTCCAATCATCGTTGTATCTACACGTTGGAATAGAATTGAATTACTCTTCCAGGTTATTGGGCTAGTTGCAGTGAGCCTCAAGGAACATGTAAAACGGAATAAGGCAAGGATCAAATGATATAATATGTTCACCCAGATATACCACTATTACACACTGCGGCGCTGCAAAGCTCTTTGCAGGTATTATTAAAGCGGGCCTTGGTCACTTTCTTATTACTATGCGCAGTTTCGACCAACATAATCTTGATTATTAAACTCATCTAGTAATATCGTACTAACTGATAGCTGATTCCAAGTTCCGTATACAACCATACGCATTGTAGCCAAAATCTTCAGGAATGAACCACAATCAGGATATATTATGCCTGCGGTGGCATAAAATCTGACGATTGGCAATATCACTGGATCAATTGTGCGTGTGTAGAATTCTAGACATCGAACAGAAGTGAGAACATATTCACCTAACTATTTGATGGAGGCTGAAGTATTGACAGAGTTTCCGTGGGAGTTTGCAGCCTGATTACTTTACATTGCTATCAATTTTAATGCACTGGTGTTGTGGTTATGAGATGTGGGGAAGTTATACCGCGATTTGATGAGTGGTCATCAAACCGTTTTCTGGGTGAACGCGAGTAAACTCATATGATAATATGCAACAAGTACACGAACAGGAGGTGTGAGAACAGACCTGTGCCTATTTAATTTGGATACATCTATTAAACTATATACACGATTGCCTTACCAAATACACTAGTGATGTATGCTGTGGCCTTGAGCCACAAGCGATGCACTAACCTCGACTCCTTCGTCATCTCAAATCACAATAAGTATTTCTACTCATAGGAGTTCAAACACTATCCGTGAAAACTTGTATCGTTAACAAGCCCCCAGCATTCTCCAGTGCATAAGACAGGATAAAACCTCGGGCTAGGCTAACTTACATCATACGCTCTCAGACAAGACTCTTTCGACATGTCATCACAGCTTCCAATATTTTTCTGGCGCGAATGATGGTATCTATAAAATGCAGGCAAAGAAAGATGACAACACATCTCTCAACTACACAAAAGTCTATAGCGTCGAGCAGGCCGGTCCCTCAGAGCGCTTCAAGGGGGTAGCGATGCCTTGGGATCTAGTTATAGTGTTAGTGTTGAGGATCCGCGCATTCATATTTTTGCAAATTTCTCTGCTTGCCGTAAGTCTGCGACCGCCCTTCCTCTCACTGGTTCTAGAAAGTAGATAAACAGGCCCAAAATACACCACTGAGCGTATGATCTAATGAAGACTTATGAAGCTTGTTAATATCAGAAGAGGATATACCACCTGGAGCACTGGTATACCTCACCTACAGGTATAGGTGACCCACATAGTTTATACGTCCCGTGTAACCATTGATTGTAAACGGAAAATTTAATAACATAAGGTATCACCACGACAATTAGGTCACTTGACTACGAAATTCATCTATTATGCAGAGACTAACGCCAGGCCAATCGAATATTCTAATTGATATTGGTATTCACGTGTCGTATCGTCTCGTCAATCAATCAATCAAGGGTGAAACTTGAACCAAAAAATTTGAAATTTCCTTATTTGGCGCCTTAAGGCCCATGCAGGTTTTTTCGGAAGATAAGTATTTTAAGTAGATTCACTCACTTTGGGGTTTGGAGCACTTACACTCAGATTCGATTTGAAGATACCACTTAAGGTTGACCTCTACGGTATGTAACCTTTTTCGTGTATACTGGACGTAGGGAAAAGCCCGAAACTCTGTTGGTTATCCGAGTGCGCTTTCGTCACTCATGAAGTACCATAGCACTACGAGAAAATATGGTATATGTGTCTTACTGCTCGAACCGTTTCTTTTCTATTTCGAATGAAGTAGGTGTTCATGCTGTCGGTAATCTACTTTGGAGAACGTCCGGGATGGCGTACCACTGGACCATTCAGCCACAATATTGGGTTCTTGGTGGCCAAGCATTTTGCCTTCAACGCCAGGTACTGGGTTGAACGAAAAGGGGCATGTGAATACTACCTCGTAGTATGTCCCTGCCCCCTTTTATAGTGAGCTAGACTGTGGCAGTAAAGTTGGACTCCGATCCAAATATCCAATCTCTAAATAAAAGCTATGGCTGGTCCAGTGAAAATACGATGGCTTGCGGCGGAGTTGGCAAAGTCCGAGCCGAGTAAGGCTACGAAAGCAGTGGCCTAAAGTAAAGAGGTCGGTTAATGAGTGACATTACCCTAAGACATAATGATCCGGGACAAAGCCCTGGCAGCCCACTTTCTCATCCGGCCGAAGTGGCAGAATAGAAACTAGCCATAGTCTCCATATTTATGTTCATAGTCTGCCGCACACTAGTCACGCAGGCAGCATATTATTTATATTTAGAACAAAACTACCCGTGCTATGCCTTCTAATTTCCGGGGTAACAAATAAAAAAATAATTCATTATCCTGATTTGGCGCCTTAGGCCCATGCAGGTTTTTATCGGAAAATATGTACACTACGTAGGATGACTCAATTTGTCGCTTAGCACACTCCCACTTGGTTTTCATTCGCAGGTATCTCTCGAGGTTAACCCTTACGGCGTGTAACAGCTCCCGTGCATGTCCACTCAACAGGGAACGGCGTGAAAACCCTGTGGCTATCCGAGTGTGCTACCATCACCCCACGAATACAATATCACCGCGAGAAAAGTGATGTGCAGGTTTTACTGGGATCGAGCCATCACTATTCTGTCTCAAATGAGGTAGAACTTTAACCTACCCAGTACCTACTTGGAAGAATGGTCCGACCGTTGTACCATTGCACCATCCAACCCTCCCGGGTTAATATTTGGCCACTTTACAAATAACACCATCATCACTACTTATCAAGGAGGCAAAATTTTGTGATAGCCAAGGACATGGGGAAATAATTGAACTAACAACCCATGCTAATAATAGTGCGCCCGAATTTTGGTTGTGAATAAAGCCATATCTAGATGAACTCAACTGAGCTTATTATTTATGTTCCCGGCTGCAACAAGTGGTCAAGCAAGAACTCTAAGATAAGGCATTCCGTATCATAAATTGGATAATATTTTGTATTTGAATTCTCTACATGATTTGGTGCTCTATGGGACCCTGCAGATGGCTAAAATCTATTTATATATTTACATAGGAAGAATGCTAGCAAAGTCGAATTCTTCAACTTCCAGCGGTGCAGGTGTAATCGTTAAGTATGCTCTGCATATCTGGGATAGCCAAGAAGAATCGCATCCGAATCGAAGTCAAAAGCAAACACAGACACCATTAGAATTAAGAATAATTAGAACTATCAAGTAGGCCACATTGTTGGTACACACGTGACTACAAATTATGTAGTTAGTTTCACTTCCGTAGTCACTTGAATCAATGCGCTCTACAACCTCAATGACTGAGGGGTCAATGTTTCCTTATATGATAAATAAATAAAAACACAGTGAACAAAACATCATTATTTGGTCCAAAGCGGCACCACGTTCCACGAACGCTATTTCATCATCTCGATAAATGTTTACATCTTAATCAGTCCTGCTTATCTGATTCTCAAATTTTTTCACATTGTGCTTCGGTATGGCGAATTGGAAAGCTAGAGAGGTGGATTTCAGAGCAGAAAATATTTACACGGCGCCACAACCAACGGACAGCGGAACGGCCGCAATTACGGCTGTCAAATCTCTCGCGATCTCTACAGGGATCAACATGGATACACTAGTGATGGTAGGGCTTTATCTAAACAAGGTCAGAGTTAGACTGGTGATAGCAGGCACTATCAAATCTGCGACAACGATGGTCGGAATAGGTGAGGCAGTTGATGCCTTCAAAGCTTACGCTATGATTTTACAATTAAAGCTGAAGGCTTCTTGTTGTGGAAAGTATGGAATATAGCATTTGAATTCATTAATTTTCTAATCTTAATTATTAACTACTTATATAAGTTTCAGCAAACTATTGACGTCAGAGCTATACCTGACCAGATAAACTAATTGTCTACAAATGATATCAGAACAATTACTTCACATGCAATACCAGAATGAATACATCATGTATAACATCTCGCAACCGAACCTTCATATCTATTGATTGGATAAACTAGGGAGCTGTAGCTTGGTGTTGGACTCTGTAAGGAATTGCATGAGAAATAAACAAGGCACGATGGCAAGAACCTTGATTTCTAACACTTCGCGACGTGAAAAACGGATGCTGGCCTTAGAGAAGGCAGTCAAGAAAAATCCCAAGTAGCCGTCGCGCAAGACGGCTGCTTCGGCAATACATGGAATGGAAGGCCGACCCACATACGCCTCAATCATCGCACCGCCAGCATCTAAAGCGGTAGTACGGATAAGAATATGAGGTGCAGAAAACATGAAGCCGGCAGAGCTCATAGACAAGACAAAAATACACATTGAGGGGGTATACGCAGTAAGGAAGCTGTGGAGCAATGATATGGAGGTGTATGTACAGTCGGTCTGATAGTGAGACGCTGCCTTGAGTATGGCGCAACCGAAGGAGTTCTGCGTCCTAAAGCAGGATTACTCCGTTGAAACCTTGGGGATCACCTTGATTATCTATAAGAGGAGAAAAAACCCCAGATAATGGCATCTTTATAAATCAAGTCATGGCGGAAACAAAAGTTCGGATGCCCAAACTAAAAATAAACAGGGTGAGATGGCTATTTGACAGAAAGGAACACCGATGAATGGGAAGAAACGGACACACTCGAGGATCAATCCTCGCGAGTTTGCCGGCAGAGGCACTTCAATGCGAAGTGATAAGAAATGGCATTGTCTACGACTCAATGCTTTACACGGCCTAACTCTGGTCATTCCGAGCACCAATCAAGCAGTGCTTCAACTGCTGTCAATGGGGGCATACTCAAGCCTCTTGCAATAGGGCAAGGAGATGTGGTGAGTACGCGGGCACTTAATAGACTGGGGAATGCTTGAGGAAATCGGTACTTTGCTGCAACTGCGTCAAGAACCATAAATCGTGGCAGAAGAGGGCGTGTTAGAACTTCGGCACATAAGGCCAGCTGTGGAAACTCGAGGGACAAAAGACAATTGGCGAGTGGTCAAAAGCTGGCGTGGACTCAAATCATAAGATTCTAAACTAAAGAGAAAAGTATCTAGGAGGATATGAATCTGTATAAATGTACATAGGAGTTCTACTGTTGAAATAAAGTTGCCATGACGAAACCTCCCGTCCCTCATTGCCTACAACCCAAGGGTTTTGCATGAAAACTAATATCCACGACAAACCTTTCGTATCGTGATTTGTCACACACAAGACTCGTGTGTGTGAAACTAGTCGTTGGAATCCCTGGATTGACCCCGCGTCAGCTTACCGACTATTGGACCGACGATCACGTGGCCACTAAAATGTCGGGGCGTCACACCAGCGTTCAAAGGGCTAGGTATGAACTCATGGAGAGAACGGCGGAATTCAGTAAAGGAGATACATTAATAACGGTATCTACAATGACTACTACGGCAAAATCTACAGAAGTACAAAGGCCTACACTGGTGTCCCACCAAAAGTCGGAAGTAGTCAACAGAGAGCCAGGACGCCCGCGCAATCAGCTCCTGGTTAATCCCCCACCACAAGTATTTGGACCATCGGGGCCAAGTTCAAAGCCATATTCGTCTCTTTTCAGCACGTGAGGGCAGGGAAAGGATGGCGAGGTCCAATACAATTTTAGCTAGTCCTGTCTCAGACTCGCGGCCAATTGCACATCCTATAGGTAACAAAGGACTATAGACAAAAATAAAATTCAACAGGGATAGGTAGTTTTTATCGCAATGGTTTCCCCCTCATGTAGATATATAGATAGTATTAAGGAAATAATGACCCCTCAGTCATTAAGGTTGTAGAGAGCACTGATTTAAGTAACTACCGAAGTGAAAATAGGTACAGACTTTGTTGTCACGTACGTATCTACAACGTGGCACACTTCATAGCCCAAATTATTCTAGATTCCAAAATATTCTTTAAATCATAATAACTGTGCTGGTGTGATGTCCTGAGAGATGCAAATGATACAAATCAGAACAGGAATAGGAAATCCTCATTGAGCTAAGTACATAATTATTTTAACAGTAGCCTGCAACAAAGCATAACTAGGCTAGACATCAATGATCAGGGCTTTATCCGAAAAGAAACTGTAAATATCCTACTGAAAGAGATGAGGAGAGGCTGATTATTACAAAATCTTTACTATGTGAAATGAAGGACTTCGTTATTCAATGTACATGTCACGATTGTTAGTAGGACGTTCTTAACCGCGTTGAATAATCGATCGTACACTTCATTTCATTCTGTCCAAAAATACAGTGACATTGCTATTTTATTCCATTTATATCTTATCAAATCTCTTCTGTTTAATGGAGATTTTGTCCAGCCATTGACGATAGTTGGTGCTATGCCGGGACTGCACAACCTCATATAAGTTTTGCCGTTGCACCAATACCACTGCAACCCTCACGCAACAAATTATGTTTTAGTAATAAACCTGCAATTGATCAGTCAGTCAAACATCATTATGAAAATGAATAGAACGGCCTATACTGGAAACCAATTACGTTATCCAGAGATTATTAATACTAGAAAATTGTGGCAAAAAATAGCTGCATCACTCGAGTTGTCAGTCTTCGGTCTCACGAACTACTGCTTACTGTATCAGAAAATCAATGTCAATAACAAGCTTTGTAATAGACAACTTCAATATAAAAGCTTCCCGTAGTTTGCTTTACTAGCTTGTGTAGGCTATGGTTAGGTTGAGGATATATATTAAAGAAAATATAACGTACACCCTCAACAATTGGACAGGCTCGTCAAATGTCTCCATGGTAGCGTTGTATAGGGCAATACTGTCCTTGTGAAGTCCTATTTAAAATTCCCCGTATGGCAAGAATATATTGGGGGACTATTCTCAACACCTGTCAGCGGTGTCCCCTACGAACCTCCAGCTCTCACTGTAGAGTCTGCAGAGCCGAGATTGAGTAACAAAGTCCTCACTTCGACAAGGATTCCCAATCGCCTCCGCGGTCTGTATCGTCTTCATCCCTAAGCAAATCCCCCTATTACCATTATCATGAAGCTAACCACGATCAGATCAGATGGTAGGGTCGGAGTCCCACTCATCACCAACCCTTGATCATGGAGGAAAAGCCATCCGATGGGTTTCCGGAGCGTACCCAGCACCCGATACGTAGGTTGTGGATTGGATCAAGTCGACCTCGACTGTTACAAAGAAGGGAGATGCAGATGAATATGCGTACCTCATGTGGTCCCGGTGTCTAGGCCTCGCCTGGCTGGGGCTGCAGGTTTTTTGAGACTTTTTCCCGCGCACGCAGTTTCCATTGCTACCATTTTATTTTTTTTGGGTAGAAGGTTCCGTGGAAAAGGTGGCCGAATTCCACGGGCAAATACTGAGCTGAATGGCTATTCATCACGGGAAATATATCAATGATCTTTCAAGTAACAAAAGAGGCAAGGAGCACTGTACAAGGTGTGGCCTGGGTTAGAGAGGAGCCCAATGTGCTAGATAGTCATAGACTCAAGTAGTACAATAAAACACACACACGCAAGAATATTTTCTTTTTGAATTCCATTGCAAGGCCCCAAAGATTTTGAAACTTTTTCGAAATTCTCGGCAAAAATTCTTCAACGAAAGTGGATCTTAATTCACCCTTTTTGAACTCGTGAATCACCTTTTTTTTAAATTCATATTGTATTCAGCTATAGAGCTATAGAGCTATGACAATTTTTCTAAAAACGGTACAAAACCCAAAAATTTTAAAAATAATCAATATCCAATCTTAGCAATACTAACACTCCTGTTGTTCCCACAGTTCCATTATTTGTGTGCCTAACACATCTCCTTTGTATGATGAATGTCACAGTTCGAATATAGAAAGCGAATGGGCATTTATATGATTGAAAGGTAAAGCTATAATTCATCTATGTAGAAGCAAACTACCTGCAAGTCTACTCTACTACTTATACACATCCAGAGGTATCTAAATCTAGCCTACGCTTATAGTGGCAATGAAACTGACTTAAGGTTTGTTCTGCCACACGGGTAACGCTTCAGATACTCTTGGCGCTATCCTTTACGTAACCTCAATAGCGATTTCGTATCAGTTTTCGTCTGCTGATAATCCTCGAAGTGATAAAAAATATAGGTTACCTTAGATAGCCATCGAAGGCTACAGGACTTATCGGCTCCCAAGCCGTCACAATGAAATATACTTGGAAGTTTTCAAAAATTGTAGTAAGGCTTCCCTTCCTCTTTTAGTTCTTAAAATTATTGGAAATATCCTTGGTTGAATATCAGAAAATGATTTTTCACGTTCTTTTGTAAATTTTGTGCAGTGTAGGATTAGATGCTATTTTGTCTGCTTTTTTGAATGGCAGAAATTACACCTATCTTTTACATTTCCAATCAAATATAAGTAAGCTCTTGTGTTTCCAATTCCAGTTTGAGCTTGAAAATATCCTGACTCATCTAGTCTCCTGTGGCTCTGGAAGTCAAATGGCTTTAGGGAAGAATTTGGTATATGCATTTGAGCTTGGGTCCGGTAGTACTTCCCGAGCCCTCTGCATCTTCTCCCTTCCTCTTCTCCCAGCAATTCAATTTACCAGTCTTTTTGCCACTCTTTGATAATGAGCTCCTTGGACCTCTGTTTTAGAAATGAGTGTGATGTGAATATGTCTTATTTGTAAGCCCTTTTCTTAGCTGCTCCTTTGGCAAGTGAGTCTGCCAATTCATTACCCTCAATTCCCAAATGGGATGGGCACCAATCTGTATTTATACAAAAAATTTTCCTGCTAATCTGGATTAGGTGGGCAAGTTGGTGAATCTCCTTCGCTGTACCTGTCTACCATTTTTTCAGGTATTCATTTTTAAGATTTTCTTCGTATTCCCATCCACAGCTTAAGCATTGCCAGAGGAAGACATAAAAGAATGACTCGAGGTCATGGCGGTATAAATGCTCCACAACGGCGCCATAAGTTTCAAAGCCATCACTCATAACTTCCAGCGCCATGAACTCCATTTTTCCGGTCATGGCCTCTATTTTCTCTTGGTACTTTCCACCCGTGAGCAAGACGGCTAAGTCGAGGTCGATGACATATCCTTTCCGGTTCTTGTGAGCTTCGGATCCAGTCATGATTATATTTAAAGAAACTTCACGGTGTAATATTTTCGCTTTCGTCATTAATGTCCAGTTGGCCTTGATGGCATCACGAAGTAAAGTAACCAGCTCAAGAGGTGATTCCATCTTATATAGCGATCTTCCGTAAGGTGATGTTGCGACAGCCGAGGAATGACGATCTCGTATTTCTGCAAACTTGACTTCTACTTCAGTGTAGGAGTCAACACTATCAGTTTCGACCTCAAAATCGCCTTCTCCATCTATAAAAGGTATAACGCTGGCGTTTTTGTCATGACCAGGAACCGTACTTGTTGCGGAATCGTCAACAGAAGATGCTTCCCCTACTACAATCGATAGATGCAATCTTTTGATCCGTCTGTTGACTTCATCATTCTCCGTGCTCTTCCGTTTCTACCCAGTAGACTCTACGTTTCCTCCTAGAGAACTTTCTGTCTTATTGAGCATCTAATTTGCTGGGAAAAACGCATCATCTTCTTCGATGATCGCATTCAATGACACGGTTGATATTCCTTCAGTACCGGCGTTTCTCGCGTAAGATGCTTGATAATTGTCTGTAGGTTGTTCCAACTCATATGTAAATCATCTCTTAAACCCATACGAAGTCTTTGACCTCTTACTTGACCGACCGGTCTCATTTCCAGGATCGCTTCCTGCACTTTCTCTTTTTCGTGACCCAGCTACACTTGTACTCTTGCTTTCACGTAGCATGATGCCATCAGTGAGTGCGAGCGGTGTGGCCATGGTCGTGTCGTCTGAAAGTATATTCTTCACCATCTTGTTGGTAAATATCAGTCCCTTTCGAAGATCACTGATCTTCACAAGATCACGCGATCCAGCAAGCTTTGCCAGGCCATCCACTTCCTTTGCAATCTTGGGCAGCTCAGCCTCCGACTTATTCCTGCACATTCTCCAAGCGAACTTCACTGCACAATCCCCTTCCATGGTGTGGTAGCAGCTGGTTCCCCTCGAGACAAGTGAAGTCTGTTGCGCGACTGGCTTTGGCGAAAGTTTGATCTCTCGCTCCTCCTCCGTTTCAGGAATATCCGACGTGACACAGATCTGATGAGCCTCGTATTTAATGTTTGGGTCAAGACCAAGTTCGGGGTCGCTCATAGACAAGCGTCTGCGGCGATTTGCCAATGTCAATGTACGAGCCGCAGTGTGGTCCTGACCGATCGTAGACCTAGAGCAGAAGTGACTTATTGAAAAGGTGGAATGCATGGGCGAGCCGTCGAAGGGGCTAGACAAAACAGAGCTCACGCATTATTATCGAAAGCTGGAGGAACTTATCCGTAAATAATTTTGATTTAGATTCTGTAAACTCTCCGACCACCAGTATATCACGCCAACGGTGTCGATCGGACGTGGGTAGTCCCTGCCGCTTGACAGAGTAGTCGACTTGTCTGATTATTTGACCACCATCAAATTCATGGGCATTGGCTGTGCTGAACTGGCTCTTATCGAGATGGCGCTCATCAGCCCCAGTCTTTGACCTTGAAGTAGACGTCGATATGTCGCGAGACTTGCTTGAATGGTCGAATATTTTGGTTTCAACCGCTTTCATCCAGTTATAAACCAACTTTTCCTTTGGGACATCAGGAAACTTCAAATATTCTTCCCCGGGCCCTCCACGAAATCCATGGCAAGGTCGATGCAATTTTCCTCTCAGGTTTTGTTTGTAAAATATTTTTTCCAGAAGCCCTGAACGTTCATGAACACAGAACCATGCAGTTCCCTACGAAACAACTCTTTCAATTCTTTCAATTTGAGACCTTTGCGTACTTGTGTAGTAGCTGCACGACTGAAAATTGATTCGGCCGCTACATTTTTCTACTTCTCCTCTTGGAATGCTAAAGTAGACTCAAGCGTATCTAGAAGCTGAAAAAGATTTCCACACCTCAATGCTCGTGACATTTGACAAAATAAGTGACGCCAGGGGTTCGAACGGAGCCAAGTCAAATGGAGTAGACTCAATCCGGTAGCTGAGGTTGATGAGTCGGGACTCAATATTATTCGTGACGTTTAGCAACAATGGTGCGCTGTGAATATAGTTACTGAACAGTGTTGCGATGTTTCTTATAGAATTTAGAAACTTCCTGGAAAATTTGGGCTTTACAAAGGCAGTTTCGCAATCGGATTAAAAGTTCGCATAAAATAAGTCATGGAAATCATCAAAAATTTGTTCCATTGGATGTTGTGCAAGGTATTTCTCCATTTTATTAGAGAGCGACATGATGTACTGGAGTTGAAGCGTCGAAATATGTTCCAGAAATAAAAATAACAGTAATCGTAATGGGAGAATGCTTGTACCATCGATAATTGGGAAACCTGACTGCATTTGTTATTCGGAGACCATTTTCATTCAAGTGCGTCCTCTGCGTTAGATTGTAAGAGGGATAGTGAGCTATCATTAGTTTAAGCTTTCCCCAACATCTGGGCTCATAACCTCACCGCCATTATTCCTTTGACGGATGAGATAAGTCGAGATAGTATTCATGTCCGATGGTTGGTATTTGGGACCCTATTCAGATCTCTTCATGTTTGTAAGACAACACTCCCGGTGATAAACGCAAATTATGCCCATGTGTGGCTAACATCAGGGGTTCTTTGGGATGGACGTAAGAGGAATTAGGACAATTTTACAAGATGATGCAAAGGAAGGATAATAACTCGCAGGAATTGAATCTCCGTATGTTGGCAAGAGTTTTACGAATTGAGCTTTGTGCGCGCCAAGGCTTCGCTTGCGAGATTGCAACTAACACTATAAAAACAAGCCGACGATGGAAGGTGTTGTGGTCCGCATCCTGGTGGTGTTCTCTGGTATGGTTTGAGTAGCCTGGGCACCTACTCCACTTGGGAAGGAGACGCCTCAGACCATATTACGCGCGGAGAAAAGTTGAAAGATGATGGAGGCATGTCTAGATAACTCGGGGTTTTTGAGACGTTCCCCTGGGTGGGTATTCACGGATGAGGGTTGACTTGGGGGGAAGAAAAAGCCGCCATAACTTCGCAGTGGTACTTGCAAATGAAATCTGAGGCATGAGTGCTCTTCCTTTACGTTGAATCATCTTTTCTGTACTTTTCTCTGATATGGTGTCATAGCTAGATAGCTGCATACGCAATTCAAATCTGATGCAAAAATAATAATAAAAGTGTATGTAAAGCATTTCCTGACACTATGCAGAAACCAGAGGAATGTCACCGGCCTTTGACCCTTGGGGGATAGCGGGTATAGCCAAGTACCTTAAAATAAAAACAGCCAAGAAAACAAAGGGATATCTGTGAAGTTTCTTGGTGTCGATCTTTTTTTTTTCATTTTCTTATCCTGTCTGAGTCTAAGACTATGTAGGACATGCAGGTCCTCTCTGCCTACAGGCCAAGGATACCTATGCCTCCCATACAACTCCCTCAAACAGTACCACCCCTCACAAGTTCTAATTCAATCATACACTAAGAGGAGCCCTTAGCCCTTCATTATCTCCCCTCTCCAGCCAACGAAACGCTGGCCATTTGCGGGTGTATGGCAGCCGGGAAATATCGCAAAAACCACTGGGTGCGGGCCTCTCCTAATACCGACATTAGGAATAAATCCGAAGACATGGTGCCCCTTCTGAAGCGTTCAAAGAGGCCGGCCAGCTGGGCACTGCAGACTTGTGGATACGTCGGGAAATTCACTCTCTGCCTTTTAGCCTCCTTTCAACTTCTTCTCGAAGGTCGTGCTGAAATGTCAGAAAAGTCTTGACAGAGCGTGATTACTGTATGGCAACTTAGCCCAACTCCTTTTATACCGTCCAGGGCGCTGGGGAGTGCCGTTGACTCATTGACAAAAGAAGCCCTCCTGACTAATTAGCGGAAATCTCGGACTTGGCGCCCACAAAAAATCCGATGTTGAAAATCCGCGAAAATATCAGTCCCAGCATGGTCTTCAGAAATCTCTTTCCCCTCTCGCCCCACATCTCAGCCGCCTGTCCTTCCTCAAGATGTACAACCCCATTAGAGCAGCAGTCCCCCATAAACTAAGGCCCCAAATTTGTATATTATGGCTTAATTTCCTCCTTGCGAGTATACGTAGCGTCGTAAATTTGTAGTGAGTGACGGCCGGTAATGATTGAGGCAAGCTCCTGTTTATAATTGGGGTGACGCCTTTATCGGTCGTCGAGGCGAGATAATGTGAGGTTTGAAAGAGGTTGAGGGCTCAGAAGATAATGGTGAGTGCTGTATGATTGAGAATTCGTCAAATTGAGATATGCATGTGATTGATTTCGACTTCGATTCGGTTGCAATTCTTCTTGGCTATCCCAGATATGCAGAGCATACTAAGCGATTACACCGGCACCACTGGAAGGTGAAGAATACGTCTTTGCTGGCTGGTGTCGATCATTTATTCGCTGGGGGACCGCTGGCTCAAGTCACCTACCGCAGTGCCACCACATCAAGTTTTCAGTGGATTTTTATGGGGCGCATATTCGTTACAGGGGCTGCACCCCTGATACCGCCAATTTCGACAGGGTACATGATTCTTGTCCTGTATTTCCAGGCCTAAACCAGGGGCACAATTTGATTTCATGTCACCCTCAGTTTTATGCAAATCCAACCCGCTCTTTAGATCCTTCCCATTGCTTTGATGCGCGCCGAAAAAAAAAAAAAACTACACAGCTCTTCTCACCTTGTGCTTGAGAAACGACACTTTTGGCTGCCTGACCTACACAGTCCTCGAAACCGGAGGACGAAGGCTGAACACCTGTCAGTGGTGTCCTCTACGAACCTGGGAGTGAAATATTCTCCTAGAGCCGAGATTCAGTCACGAAAATGGGTGGGATGAATCTTAATTGATGGATTTTCGACTTGAAGGAGTTGCACTCGATATTTTGGTCGAAAAATCAGTCGGCAGAGATTTCACAGCCGGAACAACGTCTAACAAAAAGTCATCACCACCAACATAAGATTCACGGATAGGCCTCAGTCTATTTGGGGGTCGTATTCAAACATCCGACATCTCTTAAACTCCTTTTATACTTGCGACGAAGCGTTTCTCAATCGATCCTATACCTGCGACCTACCTCCATACCCGTCCGATCACCTACCTACACACGCCCTAATGAGGA